GTAGTAGCATACAGTGAAAAAGAATATGAAAACAAATATATATGTATTCATGTATAACTGAAACATTGTGCTGTACACCAGAAGTTGACACAACATTGTAAACTAACTATACTTCAATAATAATAATAAAAAAGAATAAAATTTGAACAACCTCCTGGGGACATGACCTCTTAAATTGAGACTAAAGGAGCTCAAGCTAATTCATAAAGTACTGAATGGAGACAATACTAAAGTCACAATTTCAGGGTTGGAGGGGGGACAGGGGAAAATACTTAAATGGCCCTTTAAGTAATTTGCTTTGTTAAATTAAAAACAAATTTGAGAAATACCCAGGACAATATACAATGCTTGAACATAATATAAATGAGAGACTTACTAGGAGAAATGGAAAAGAGTATTTTATATTAGTTTTTAAAATACATTTCCATTTTCAAATAGAAATCCAGGAAACAAATTGAAAACAGCATAGATCAGGATTTTTTTTTTGCAAAAAAAAATGGTATTGCTGCTCATAATTACAAGAAAAGGATGACAATATTTTAAGTGAGTTAGCTTTGGCCCATCATGATCACTTCATGGTGTGAAGAAAACAGCACTTGAATGATTTTTTTCCCCTTAATTTGTTCTGAATTACAGCAAAGTGAGCAAAGTGCTCTGTGAGAAGCAAGTGCTCGTGTTAATTAACTCTGCGTAAAGAAGGTCACTGGTATACATAGGACTCACTTTGTGGTTTTAGTTGTAGATTTTTTCTTCTGCAATTAGAATTCTCCATTAGGCATTATAAGCATATGCAGATAGTCACTTTTTTATCCAGCATTTTAGATTTAGGCACATTTGTTATTTTTCTCTAAAAAACTTTAAAATGCAACAGTACTAATGGAATTGACTTAAGAGTTAAAACATGGTTCAACATATTTATAAGTTTTCCTAAAATATTGCCCTTTAAAAAACCCTGAATATTATAGCTGATTGTTTAAAACTGCATGCACTGTTGTACTTCAAATTTCACAGCATAAAAATGAACAAATCTGAGTTTTCAGTTGTATATTGAATTGTAAACATTGAAGATAAAATTCTAAATGCAGTAAATTCTTGTAAATAATTCAAGATACCAAAAGTTTCATCAGGCTTTAGAGAACCGTGAACAGCTAAGTCAATGTTTCTAAAATAGATAAAACTTTTAAATGTTGATTTCTAATGTTCAGTTATAAAAGCTTTATGTTTTTGAGCATAAGCCATTATTTTTATGACTAAGAATTAAAAGAGCCATGGTATGTGTTAATTATGTTGCTCATATAACACATGCTATTGATTTTAAACTGAAATTGTTTATGGAAGTAAACATTAATGCCATGGTATGATCAGCAATGTGTATTTGCTCGCCCTTTCCATTCCACTCCAGTAATAACATATTATAGGAATAACTATAATCAAGTTGGCTTTAAATGGATTTAGCCATAGTGTAAAGGTAATAATGTATGCCATTCTTGTGATTGTCTTTTTTCTGAGGATTCAAAAGTTAGGTGTGTGTAAATAAGGTCCATCTTTTTTTCAGTATTGTCTCCAGACTAAAAAACGTCTTCAGTATTGTTCCAAAACTAAAAAATAAGAATGTTTTATCTAAAATTTCCTACTATGTAATAGGCATTGCTCTCTCTTATTTCTCTTTCTCTACCTGGCAGAATTAATCAGTACCCTTTCTTTCTGATTCTTTTTATCCTGTAATTGTTTGTATCACATTGTATTACACTTTTAATTTACATATTCCTCTTCCCCTGAGACCTCATGAGTGCAGAGATGGGGTTTTATTCATATTGCCAGCTCCAGAGCCAAGGGCCCTCCCTGGGCCACAGTAGGCTCTCAATAGATGTTTACTGATCAGAACTGATTATCGATGCACTGAAGTGCTGCCCACTTATGTAACAGTGCTTGTAAGACATATCAAAGGATATCAGACTTCCCACTGGGTGTTTATGATCTAAAGCTGGGGCGGGCACACTTTTCCTGTAAAGGGTGAGATGGTATGTATCATAGTATCCTTTTAGACTCTGCTGTTGCAGTCTGGAAGCTATGTTCCACTAACTTTATTTACAGAAACAGGCAGCAGGCTGGATTTAGCCCTGCCAATCGCTGCTCTATATCATTGTTTTGGGGGGTGGAGGAAGAGGAAATAAAGATTCCAACCATGTATCATAATAATCACCACAAAGTTTCTAATAAATGTTGGCGGTAAGAATTATGGTGGATGTAACATTTTGAAATATCTCCCAAGTTTTGTTCCCTAAGAACGAAGAAGAAACTCAGAAGTTTTCTTTTTTCCTCTTCTGTACCCCGCCTCCCATGAAGACTAAGCTCAGAGGTTGTAGTGAATAAGCAACAGGAAGAGAAGTAGAAGTGCTGACAAGGCACTTGGGAGGCGAAACAAGAGTGTAGAGACGGGAAAGCAAATAGAAATAAATGTGGCTGACAACAAGACATATGTTAGTCCAAGGCCTCCTGTGTTTGGGGGTGGGGTGGGGATTGGCTTTTAGACTGAAGAAAAGCTGGGTTTTGCTTGCTTCTCATTTGGGACAGAAGAGAAAGAATGTCATATAGCAGTGGTCCTCAAACGTTTTTGCTTGCATACTTCCTGAAAGAATTTTGAAAAAAAAAAGTATGTTATCCCTTCATACATTTCCAATTTGACATCTAAAATTTTTTTATAATCAGGGTGTAATTATCATCATATATAAATAATTTCATTTAAAAATAAAAATGTCATGTTGCCCTTTCTATATATCCAATGGAGTCTAACATCATCGCAGATTTTAAACTTTTATTTTGAAATAATTTTAGATTTACAGAAAAGTTGCTGATGTAGTACAGAGAATTCCTATACACCATTCACTCAGCTTCCTCAAATGGTACATATCACATGACCATAGTACAATCATTAAAACTAAGACATTAATACCGATACAATACTATAACTAAACTATAGATTTTATTCTAATTTCACATTTTTCCATATGTCCATTTTCCATTCCAGGATCCTACCTTGCATTTAGTTATCATGGCTCCTTACCTTACTCCCATCTGTGACGTTTTCTTAAGTCTTTCCTTATCTTTCATGACCCGGACACTTTTGAAGCCATCAGTTATTTGTGTAATGTTCCTCAATTTGGATTTGTCTAATGTTTTTTATTATTAAATTGAGATTATGCATTAATGGGGACGATACCAAAAAAGACATGTGTCCTTCTAGGGGGTACATGATGCTGGTGTGGCTTATTACTGCTTCAGTTAACCTTTTTCACTTCCTTAAGTTTTCTCCATTGTAAAGTTAGTACTTTCCAATTATGATTAATGAGTATCTTGGAGGCAATATTTTAAGGCTCTGAAATTTTTCCGTTTCTCTTCAAATGTTCATCCATGGATTTTAGCACCCACTGGTGGATCTGTCCTGCAACAATTATTGCTGTAGTGTTTGCCTAATTTTTGTTTCTCTCATTTCTTCTACATTTTTCAATTGAAATTCTTCTGTAGAAAAGAACTGTTGCTTCTCCCCTGTTCATTCATTCATTTATATCAAAAGGGACTCATAGATATTTATTCTATGCTTACAATCCAATATTATTATTGTTCTGTTACACAAAGTATTCCAACTTTGGCTTTTGGGAGCTCCTTCAGGTTGGTCCTGTGTCCTTTGGAAATTACCCCATCTTTTTGTGAACATTTCCTTACTTTCTGGCATCACAAGATAGTCCAGTTTCATTTTGTATTTTCACTGTCCCAGACCTGGAATCAATCACTTCACCAAGGAGCTCTACTTCCTTTGATTGGGGATACCATGACAATCTGAATTCTATTATAATCTATTTTAAAATAGAAATACAAACAAAGGAGTAGAGAACTTCTAAGTTTCTGGGTCCAGAAGCACTTGGTCTTTTTAGCAGTCAGAGATTCTTGTTTTGTTTTCCCTTTAATCTTATTTCCCATTCCAACTCCCATCCCACAGAATTTTTTCCTAATATATTTTTGTTCTTGGAAGTATCTTATTCGTTGTCGTATTTCCCTGAAGTAAAAAATACATATATATATATATGTAAGCTGAAATTATTTTAAAAAAACTTCCCTGTGAGCATAGGCTGTGTTACACATTTTCTGTATCCAGTTGCCATTTCAATTACTGTTAGTACACAGCTGATCAAAACAACATGAACATATTACAATGGCTAATAAATAATTAGTATGTATCAAACTAAAATGTTATAGTGGTGCATCTCTTAATGAAATGGGTGCATCATAGATCAAATTAATCAATATCAATTTAAAATTGCTAGAATGAGTCAGGATTCAGCACAAATTCTATTCCCCTCTACCTTTTTTGTAGCTATATGTGCAGAGAAAATCCGGCAGAGATCACTGGTGCTCACCGTGGTTGGTTACTCTCCTTCCTAACACCCTGGGAAACCTCCCAGACTGACTTGTAGTTGGGTTGGACCCTGTGACTACTTCTGGCCAATGATATGTGAGTGAAAGTGCCATGTTGTGCTTCTGGACCCAGAAACTTAGGAGTTCTCTACTTCTTTTTAAAATGACTATTAACTATGCCTGTTACTCTTTCACTTATAGGCACTTTGTTTTACCTGGCATGCAAAGTAAGGTTGGGAAAAATAAAAATAAAAATAAAAATAAAAATTGTTAATTTTATGCTTTTGTCATTACTATTTTTCTATTAAAATATCTTTTATCTTCGCGTATGCTTTAATCAGAACACTAGAACTGCACATATAGTTCATTTAATTTAATGAAAATGTTCATCATAAAACTTAATTGGTAAAACCAATCCTCATTGTTAAACAAATGAGCCAAATAAGAAAATGTTCAGAAAAAGTCTGATTTCATTTTTTCAATTCAAATAAGCATAATACTTATCCTCAGAGCTCAGTTAGGAATCTAAGATAAATAAAGCTACAGAGCTTTTCACCCAAATTAACACTTCAAGTCCTTATCAATAGTTACACTTTCTTTACTTTGCTCTCCCCAGATTTTCTTTCCAGAAATAGTCTTTTATTATAGACAGGGGCTGGACGAGATAAAGTCTCAAAGGAAGGTACTTAGCACTTCTGCATTTATATATATATAATTATATATACATTTGTATATACACATATACACATATATAATTATATATACACATGCGCAAAGTGTATTAATTTAGACTATCCCAACGTGGGGCAAAATAACTCATTTCTAACTCATCACTTCATCCTTAACAGAAAGATGTATGAACACAGGAAAAGACTTGAGAATTTACACTGGGTTTATAAATTTCTTTATTAAAAGAAGTTTCACTGACATCATTATTTTGAAATTTTTTCTTTGTTTGATGCCATGGAGGATTTTCCCAAGATAGGGCATCATAGTAATATTTGAGGTGAAAGCCATTTTTTAAAGATAGAAATGGGCATTTCTGCAAATTGAGGTAGGAAAGAAGAACCAGCATGACACCTTGATCTTAGGCAAGTCAATTCTAAGAAAGAATATATATGATGGTCAAAGAGTCTGGAAACTGAGCTCCTTAAAGATACCCATGCCCCGGTATCCCTCAGGGCACATGTCCTCAACTTAAAGACTGTTAACTTAGAGAATGTATTTCTGTAGCCTATAGGAGTAACATAATTAGTCAAAGACAGATCTCTAACTCCTTCTGTCAGGCAGAGGTAGGGAACCCACTGGGGACACCCAAGGCCTTAGGAGATGTAAGCTCTACTGTATTGGAGGAGCCTGACCTGATGACTGAATAAAGGAGAGTCTTTCTGCTAGCCCGTGTTGGTGTGGATGAGAAACATACCTTTGCTGTGTTAAGCCAATGAGATTTTGGGACTGTCTGCTACAGGATTAAGCCTCCCCTGACTAAGAGAGTAGCTGATGGTGTGCTGGGTGGGGTCTCACTACTGCAGAAGTGATTTAGCCTTATTGCCAAGAACTGTAATGTCCAGGTAGGGGAATGAATGGGAGTCATGGCCAATTCTCCAGGGATAAGGCAATGCCAGGGAGAGCCAGGATGGGGCCAAACCAAAGAGAACAGACTACAAGTTACACTAACTATAGACTTCATAGAGATGCCAGCAGAATTCCCAGGTGTGGGCCAGACAACTACCCTCAGTGGACACCAGGTAACACATCTACAGTGAGTTATCACCTGCTCCCCACAATACCACAAGGACAGAACAAGTTCTCATATATCCAACCACCATTTTGAGGAGGGAATGGAAACTCTGGAAGACTGAATGTCCATCTAAAGAGACCATCTACTCCACACTTGATAGGGAGTGGAACTTTCAATAGAAGAAACATTTAAACTGAAAGAAGGCTGTTGGAATTGGATCAGCCCTGGTTATCTTTAAGTGGAAAATCCAAGATTTTTCATTACTCAGAGTTATAGAAAATAATTTATTTTTTTTTTGGAGGGGGCACATTAATGGTATGTGAATGAGTTTGTGACCCTGCTACTTTTTTTTCTTTTCAAGAGTAGCTATGAAATCTAGTTCAGATTAAAAAGAGATGTGGAAAAAAGTTTTCAAAAGTGCCTGTATACAGATAAAACAGTGTATTTCAGTACTTCCCATTTCTGAAATTTCAGTACTGAGAAGTAGTGCATGATCTGTCCATGGGGATGCAGTTCAATACTAAATAAGAAGGTACAGAGCATTGATGAGCAGTACAGGTTTTTTCCTGCAAAACCACTTTATTTTGACATATTTTGTCAGATTTTTATGTGTGACTGACTACTCCACTTCAATATACCTTGACTAGAAGGATAATTGATTAGCAGTTTTTACCAAGCTCACTAAAAAGATCAGAACTTTAATTTCACTTGACAGATTGTTAATTTGGGCTTTTATAACTGTTAGTCCAGGCCAATTATTCTTTTGAGTCATAAATATACAACGGCCACATGATGTAATGTTAAAAAAAATAAAGTTCCAAAACTTGAACAAAATTGTGGACATAGATTGTCTCAATGTGTAAATTACACAGTAGTAGCAAAGGGCTGCTTTTGGAAGCTGCATTAACTGTTTCAGGCCATGAGGACTCTATTCTTAGGACATGTTCTTCAAACTGTATTTCTGATGATGACGGTTTTCCACTTAGAAATTTATTCATACTTTCTCCTGCGGAACACCTTGTGACTTGTGGCCACTAGTTCTGAGGCAACTGGTTGTAATAATTAAAATGCACATTCTAGGTAGATCCCCCCAGTTTCTCTCTATCGCAAGGCCTTACTTAACTTTCATAACCACCTGATACTTTCTCTATGCATTTCTTTACTGGTTTACTGTCACTTTTCCTTCATTAGAAAGTAAGTGCTCACTCTGATACCCCCAGTGTCTAGAATGACTCTTGGTTCTTAATAGGAACTTGATAAACATTTATGTAATGAGTAAACTTTTGAATATTGATTGGGAAGTCATTTTTCTTTATAAGAAATTAATGAAGGAAGATCAAATCTGTGATTTTTAATTTGTGGATAATATCATACTTTGAATCACTTTTTAGTGACTACACTGACTAGTCCAATGCAAATAGAGTTGGTTCCCCCAAACCATAGTTTACTAAATAGAAATCCCCAAATAAACTCCTTTATATAGCAAAGGTGTCTGGATTACAACTGGACAGTAATTTATTTAGTACTTCTCAACATATCCTCTAGTCTAGTTCTAATGAAACTGTAATTCAGAACTTTAATTTTTCCCCTTTAAATTCAAGCTGTATTTTGTATCTTTTGGTTGCTAGGAGTGGTATATATTTTATACCTTTAGATTTTAATAAAGCTCATGAGTTTTAAAAGTATTAATATCTCAATAAATTCCTTTGAGCTAACTATAAGATCTTTTTAACTATCTAAATTTGTCATCATTTAGTAACATAATTTTAGGCCACATTGTGTGGTTGCTTATGAAAGTGTCCTGCTAACCAAGATCTTTACTATTTAAAGAAGGATTATTTTTCTTCTCCTTTAGTTTGAGAAGTCAGAACTAATAAAGATAAATGTCACCGTAAGTACTATAGTCCATAACCTGTGAGTTTTAAGCTTAGAAATTAGTGTTTTCCAAACCCTGCTGTTAAATGATTGAATCAAAACCAAACAAACAAGAAACCTCTTAGGAGCATTTTTTCCTCTCTTATACAAGTGTAGGGCTTTAAAATTTGTTTTGCTCACTCTCTCTTTTAGTAGAATGAGATTGGGTAAATGTCTGAATAGATACCAGATTATTTTTAAAATTCGCAGAAATTTTTGGTAGAAGCACATTAATGCAACAACTGTTACTCACATTGGTTTGAGAGTTTTCAACTGGGAGTTTCTTTTCATAGTTCTTGTTTTCTGAATAATCGTTGTAAAATTTCCCCCTTTTAATAATAGATCACAGTTTGAGGAAATGAATAAATCAACACCCATCTGATTTGGTTACAATTCAAAACCAGTAATCACTTTAAGAATAATTAAACTGGTGATACAATTCACATTATAGTGGCATCTGGTCTATGAAGGAAGATACTCTTCTTGACTCATTCTCATGGCTGTGGCATTCTCTCACTTCATTATTATTAATCATTCTTCTCAAGATCAGAAATGAGAATATTTTCTTCTAAATGTACTCTTCTAAAGTTCGTTGTAGGATAGTAAGGATTTCCAAACTCTGCAAGTCTCCTGAAGATAACCCTACTATGTTTGTATATGCAGAAGGAAAGTGTGGAGATTGCCAGAATTGCTATCAGTGTCATTGCTACTGCAAGAGGTATAATGCTGTGACTTGGTCCTAAAAGAAGGTGAAAAAAAAAAAAAGAAAAGAAAAGAAAAGAAACTTAAATGACAATGAAGTAAAATAGATACTGTCACATAGTTACTTTCTGTTTTATTATTTCTGTGAAAAATCAAATTGTTTTCTACTGTTCCAAACCTACCTTTTCCTGGATGTTCCTTTACTGTGTGAATATCTAAAATCAAATACAAAAAATATTGAGATGAATTTTCCTTTTAATTCAGCAAAGTTATGTCACTATTTATAGCAGGGCTCAGCCAACTATGACCCATGGATCAAATCTGGGCCTGTTTTTATAAATAATGTTTTATTAGAACTCAGCCACACTAATTTGCTTCTGTTGTCTTTGACTGCTTTTCTGCTATAATGGCAGTGTGACAGGGACCATATGGCCCCCACAGGCTAAAATATTTACTACCAGGTCCTTTACGAGAAAAGTTTGCTGACCCTGATTTATAGTAATCATTATTAGTGCTCACAAACACGCTCACTGTTTGTTTTTTTTTAAGTGGAAGAATCCCCATCCAGTCTCAGCACTGTGCTGCAATAAAAATATGAGTAACGTATAGTCCCTGCCAGCAAGGAACTCAGTTTGGTTGGAACTTGATGTGGAGTTGGTCCAGCAATGATAACCTCCCTGGCTTTTTTGCAAAGATTTTAAAAAATCAGCAGCTTCTCATCTTTTAGATCTCCAGAATCTTGGGAAATGAGTAATACCTTCTTCACTCAGAAAGTTAAGAGAGTTCCTGTTTGAGGATCTTCTACTGTAAGAATACATACTTTTCAGGTAGACTTTATGTCAAAATTTGAACTCTGCTATTTTAATCTAGGTAAAGATCCAGAGAAATATGTAGTCCTTGGTGCAGGACTTATGCCCATTTACCCTTATAGACTTGAAAGAAATGTCAACATTTTTACCAGTAGAAAAGCCATATTTAAAAAAAACCCTTGACCTTGTAATTTAAAAATAATATTGTATACTTTTGCATAATATTATTGAGAACATCTATTATTGTATATGTGCAAAGATACTTTTTAAACAAAGACTATTAAATGAGCATTCATTCTCAGGATTGAGGCAGTGGGCAGGTATAGAAGGGGCATGTGGATTCAGAAAACTTGGAGTGTAGTCCCCCAGGTACATGTTTGGACAAGTACTCTTCTCATCTGTAAAATGGGAATATTGTATTGGCTCCACTGCCTTGGAAAGTTGCTGTGAAGGATGAAACAGGTGTCCTATGTAGTACAGTGAGCTTTAAAGTCCTGTACAGACTCGAGGTATTTCTGATTTGTTCTTGATATGCTAGTAGTCGCTTGGGCACACTATTAGGTTAGTCCTGTTTTCCACACAGAGTTGATATCCACACTATTGGAGTTTCTTGTTTCCCATACCTACCAGTTTTTGTTCCTTCACTCCCAGGATCCAATCAGTCACCAAAGCCTGACGATTTTTTTTTTCCATTTCCACCCTTCCTTTTTGTTCCATTCAAATTACAATAGTCTCCTTTTACATTGGATGGATATGACTCCACTGTAGGTGTCTACAGAGCACAGAGGAGTTCCCTGTGTCCTTTACCATGAAGTTTAGCTCTTTAGGCTAGCCTGCTCTGTGGATGGATCCTACAGTAATACGGATTTATTCCCATCACTGCCTGACATGAGCCCTTCACTTGAGTCTAACCTCATTCTCAACTGCTACCTTTAGTCATACTGGAATCTTTGTCTGATACTCCTTCCCTCCTCTCTTCTCTTCATCTTTTGTGATTCCAAAGCCTCATCCTCTCTCTGAAGCCTTCTCCAGGGGCCCAGGCCACATCAATCCCTCCTTCTCTATAATACTGGCATTTAGAAACTATTATGATTATTATAAACACCTTCCCACTGTTAATGATCCTTGTTAACATCGTATCTTCGAAATCTCTGCTATTATTTGCAACTGACTAGAATTTCCTGGCTTAGAATTTCAACTGACTAAAATTATTTTTATCATTACAAACTAAGTATATAGCTCAAGATGAAGTTAAAATATGATTTTTATAACATATTATGGCTTGGAACAGAGAATCACATCTACTTAACCACAACAAGGATACTGAGGCCTGGATTATATTTCCTGGGAACAAAGATGAAGCTTAAAAATTCTGAGTACCAGTTGCTTGCTGGTATAAGTTTCCAGCTCCATTTGCTTGAGGTTAAACTGCTTGTTTGCCCATTAGTTTAACAGCTGGGGTGACACAAGAAAGTCACAGTCTTTGAGATGATTTATAATGATTTTTTCTTCATATCAGAGAAAGAAAGAGCTGAAATGTTGTTCTGTTATTTTCTGACTCGTTTGATATAGAACAAGATGATAATGTCAGAATCGATCTGAATAGTTTCTTATTACTTGGGTTTTAAAAGCTTTCAGTGCTAAAGAGAGGGGTCAGCTTTAGGCAGGGGAGAATCAAAATGAAGAATTACCTTCTGACTTTACCTACCTGCTTCCATTTTACATATAAATCCCTTTTTTTCTTGGCATGAGGATAATTGCCACACTCCTTCGGGAATCCTCAGGGCCACACACAGATGGGGTTCGACGTGGTTCATCTCTGGCTTCCGAATCCCCCAGTTTGACTGGTCTGTGGGAGTTCCATCAAACCACTTTATGGTTTCATCTGTGGAAAACATGTTGACTTATTATGAATTATGTACATGGTTATCAAACATATTAAGACTGGAATAAACCATAAAAAGCAGCCCCTAATTTAATGAGACTCTCTCCTTGTCTGATGCATTCAGCTCAGTAGGTACACTCATGAACTCCACATCTAGAGACAGGTATTATAAAGTTGCCTTGTGACCTACTCCCTTGATTTTAGGTATATTGTTCTAATTAAGTTCATTTAAGATAACACGTTTCTTAATGTAACAGTTTGAATTTTGAAAAATTCCCGTTAAATAACCAATTTAAAGAAATAATTTGAAGTCCTAACATCGATATGACAAAATGGCTCACTTTCTGAAGAGAATTTTGCAGTGAATTTCTTTAAAAAGCAAACAGTGGTTTACCAAGGGGTGGGGGCAATGGTAGAATCCATCTACCTGTGGATGATAAGGGGGTAAATTGTCTGAAAAGGATGTAAAACCAACAATAAAACTAAGTAAAAGTCTGTCAGCTTTTTATTATCACCATGTGCTAGAAATTTTAAGCAACATCAGTGATTGAAATACTCTTCCTTACCAGGGCAGACCCATCCTCCACCCTGGTACACCACTGTACCAAGTTCTCCGTGCCAATAAAAATAATTTTCTTTACAAGTAATTTCAATAACCATCAGTTACATAGAGAAAAGAATACCATGCTCTTATCTGATTACAAACTCTGGTTTTTGTAAGTAGCAAATAATAATCCTAATAGTACTATTTATCATGGAAACATTTCCATAACTCTGTTGTGCTTTTGTAGCATTTATGAACTGGGAGTATTTTCAAGTCCATATGGTTTTGGTGTCCATGAACACAAAGTTCCAGCCAAGCATCTTCGTGATGTGAGATTAAGTATAAGATAAACTTACTTGTTTTCATGGATCATTTCAGAGGACAAGAGGGTATAAAACAGGGTTAGCAATGTTGTTTTTGGGAGAAATGGCTTTAGGATTTATGCTATTTTTTCATGGCAGATGTATCTAAGGCGAGTTTTCTGGTTTGCAGATGCCATTTCCACCAACCTTGACCACTGTATATTTATTTACACCCTCTCCTCTACCCAAATCACTTACGGTCACCATCAAACTGAGCATTCAGCCAAACCATCTGGACAGAAGAACTGAAAGCAATAAGCTCTTCTAGGAGAAATGAATTTTCAGCCTCATCTTTGATCGTTAAAAGATTAGATCCTATAAAAAAGACAAACAGCAAATGAATAAGTATTTGTGTTTACATGTAAATACAATTAAAATAATGTCTTCTGTACCTAATTTGTAAAGTTCAGCCTTTGAAAAGTGAAAAGTTCCATTGTACATAGGTGATTTTTGATGAAGATTTTAAAAGTAGTATGGTATTTATTAAAAGATGCAAGCTTGTACCTAAAGTATAGATATTAATTTTAGGAAATATTAAAGATTCATAATTCAAATCTATTCAAAGGGAACATTTTCTTAGGAAAGTGCAGTATTCTGAGACATCATTTTGGGTTTTTAATTCTATACTGGACGTTGCACATACTGGCCATTGCCCAAATGCAACAACATTTATTTTTTCAATTGTTTTTGTTGCTCCTAAAGTCACTATATAATCAGACAAAAAACAATACATTGAATGTCAAGAAGGAACACATTGAAAGCATTTTACCACCACAAAAGAATTACCTTCCTTTTTGCAAAATTCATGAGCAGCCTCAAAACTTGTACTGTCTAGGACTGTAGAAAAACTGTAGCAATTACTTCTGAATTTTATCCAGGGAATAGATGTTTCTGAGCACAACTCTGGGTCTTCATATGGTCTTGTTTCTATGAACAAAATCAGTTATGATTTCAGGGTGGTGACTGGGTTCATTTATTGAGATAAACATTGCATTGAATTCTGTGAAAGACCAAGATAAAGATATGTAATGAGATTTTCATGATAATACTCTGAAAGAGTGGGTTTAATGTGAGTGATTACAAAACTAGAAATGGTTTATGGCATGTCTGACAGAAATAATCTTTATCTATGCATACCAGGGTATATTAATGTATAGCTTCATAGGCTTAGTTTGGGTGCTGCCCGGGTGAAGGTGGCTATCTTTCATATTTACAATTAGTATCCTAAAGGTTGGGAAAACTGGGAGATGTGATTCGTAGATTACTGGTAGCTGAATAAAGTTGGCAAAATGTACTTCCAAGTGTGCAAAATGTGTTCCATTCAGTGCTGAATATTACAGACTTAGTAAATCCTTACCTGCTAATCAACCTATGAGAGAAAATAAGGCATTCAGTAAAGTATCATAACATAGCATAGCATAGCATAGCATAGCATAGCATAGCATAGCATAGCATAGCATAGCATAACATAAAACACATAACTAAGGAAAATTTGGTGTAGACTTTGTTCCAGAGGGCAAGCCTGAGAGTCAGACACACCCACACTGAGAGTCTGGGTGTGTGGCTATGAGCATGTTATCTATCCTCCCAACACTTTGGTTTCTTTGTCTATAAAAGAGAGCTAACAATCACATCCTTCTTACAACTTGAGAAGTTTAAGTGAGCTAGAGCCTGACACTTAAGCACTCAATAAATGCAGTGTTATTGAAAAAAGAAGGCTAATTTTTTATCATATTTTAGAAGCAGAAATAGCTCTTTCAATATATATGGCTATCATTTACATTTCTATCCTGAATTGTTTTGATCTGAAGTTGCACAATATATATGCTATTTGACTTACAGTATCCAGAGTATAAGGAAATAAATGCATACTTACTAAATGAGAGATTTTAAAAAGAGACCAGCTAGTGTTAAGGAACTCTCTTTTTGTACACCATAGCAACCAAGGGGAAGGGGACCTGGTGTAATGGGATAAACATCACATCAGAGAGTGAGAAAACTTGTCTTCTAACCCTGCCGCTCTTGACAGACATCTATGAGATCTTCAGGAAGCTATTTAATGCTCTGAGTTTAAGTTTCATCTTTAAAATAAAGTTCACCTGGTTGGGTCAGGTGAACTTAAAGTGTGATGAGATATCATTATCATTATTATATATATATAACCATGATCATGATGATGACAATGGCTCTAGAATCCTATTACTCTTTGACTTAAATATAAACCCTCAGTCTGGTGTTCAAGGTCCTCCACATATGCACCTAAGCTATGTTTCTAGCCTAATTTCCTACCCTTCCCTTACCCAAAACCTGCAATGCAGGGAACTATTAATACCGCCTTTGCGTTATACATGCCCAATCTTTTCTTCCTTCTGTGTCTTTGCCCAAGCTTTTCTGCACAGAATGCCTCTCCATGTCCCATAATTGCCTGATTATATCCCACCCATTCTTTAAGGCCAGTCTCTACAGCCATGTCCTTCAGGACGCCTTTCTACTTTCCCCCAAGTGGATATGATGTGTCTTTTCCTCGCTAACCCCCACAATACTTGCTGCATCTCTTATATCATTTGGTAGCACTGCCTTGTGTAACATTTATTTATCTGTACATCACCTACCAGGCCAAATGCTTCTCGAAGGCAGATGCTCTTCCTCATAGCTCCTGCTTAGCACAGTGTCTTGCATACATTAGATGCATAGTACACATTTCTTGAGTTGCATAGACTTGTACCTACCAGTGGGCACATGACAAATGGCCCCTTGCAGAAACGACTCGCAGTCTGTGGAACTCCAGTGTCCACTCGTGTCGGCAAAAACACAGTCACCCAGGAAGGATGACTCATCGTCTTTCCAAAAAGTGAAGGAGAATTTGGTGCCATCTGTCCAGTCAAAATGAAGACCATTCTGTGGAGGGAAATTAAACCATCATTTCCTTGCCACAACTGCTGGTGGCATCACCCAGTGATGTCTGAACAGCCCTCAATTCACACAAAGATTTGCATTTCCACATCTAGACTTACACTTCAGTGGGTAGGACAGCTTGTGATGATGGCCTAACAAAAAAGACTACCTGCCACAAGTAATATCTTTTTTAGTTTTTGGGAATCCTTAAATCCCTGCCACCATAATTTCCCAGTAAGCAATCAGAGTGAAGTTGAATCAATAGCTTGTCCTTTACACACAAATAAATTTGATTGATCAAAGATTCAAACATAAAATTGAAAACATAAAAGTGCTAAGGAAAACTTGGTGAAATATTTTATACTCTTGACGTTGGGAAAATCTTTCTAGGTCTGATAAAAAAAATCCAGAGGCCATAAAGTAAAATTGACTACATAAAGTTAAAACATTCTGTAATATAAAACTACAATAAATAACCACAAAATAACATCCATTCAACCATCCCACTGACAAGGATTAAAATTTTGACATACCCAGTGTTGGCAAGGATGTGAAAAAAAACTAGATGTTATCACACACCATTGTTAGCATGTAAATTGGCACACACTTTTGGAAGGCAATCTGCCACCACTTGTTAAAGTGTACTTAGCGACTTCATTTCTGGGGATTTATCCTACTTGTACAAGGATATTTGTTGTGCATTGTTTGGAGTTGTGAACTGGGAAGAACCCAAATGTCGATTCACAGCAGAATGGTTTAATAAATTGTGGTATATACTTATATGCTGCTGTCCTAAAGAATGTATTAGATTTTTATGTGCTGACATGGAAAGCTATACAAGGTATATTAAATAAACCAAGTTTAAGTGCAGCATATATAGTATGAACTCATTTGTATTTAAAAAACAGTATACAAATTAATCCATTACATGTGTATATATGCACATAGAAGATTTCTAAATGATGCACAAGAAACTGTCTATGGTGATTGACACTGGGGAGTAGAACTAGAGGTCAGGATAGAATAGATTTACTTTGCAGTAAACTGAGTGTGTAACACTTATTTAAAAAAAGAAAATTAAAAAAATATTACTTTTCAAACCACATTCCTAAAGTGGGGGAAGAATAATCCACATGTTAAATTCCAAAGGGTACTGAATTAATTAATAACCAAATTTCTAGGCAGGAAGCATGGTTCATTTTTCTTAGGGATTCCTTAAATGCAACAAGCTACCCAAACTGCAGGTGCTTGAGTTTAAAATGCGTTCCGGCTTGCATATTGAGGCAGTATCCTGCAATGGCTCAGAGATTTTCAGAGAACCTTTGAAGGGCTTTAATTTTCAGAAATTAGGCAAGTAGATGTTTACTCTAAAAAGGTGTGCAGCTTTATTTTATAGTCATAGGCTGCTCATAAGTTTGGTCAGTAGTGATTGTAGAATTCAATTACTTAAATGTATTATTTTGGTCATTTTTTTCTGTGCTAATTTCAGTGGCTATATCACTAAGGAAGTAGATGAGAAACTTAACCATGCCAAGATTGTCCAAGAGATTTTAGGACACCTACATCTTCAGTGAACAGTCCAATCCAGTGTGCATGTCCCAGCCGGCTGAGGATAACGGTGAGGAAGGACTGGTGGTACTGGTCTGTAATGCTGACCAGTTCTGCTCCATGCATTAGGCAGGTTTTCATTGCTGTATACCAAGTCATGTTCGCATTAATTATTTTGTAAGTTCTGTTTCCATATTCTAAGGTACTGGGGATTGGATACATATCAGATGTATTTACACTGTGTCCAGAAGAATCTAGAATAAGAAGGACAAAAATTATTGTAGCATCTGGCTGAGAAAGGGGGAGGCCAAGCTTAGTGTGGAGCTCTGTCACAGAGAGCCATGCTGTTGTTAACATCAGAGGTTTTCTTCCCAGAACTGACTAAAAATGAAGGCAGTACCTGTAAGCGTAGGTGACACTAAAGGATAAAAACACTTGGGAAATTTAATGAATGAGTTTTAAAAAATATAAACATATATTGAATAATTTCTAGAAGATTTCCCATTTTTGACCACTTTTTGGTGGAACTGATGGTGATCTCCTTAGACAGGTTTAATTTTATTAATTATGCTCAGCCTAACACATGCTGTTGGCAGAACTTAATACTCACTAAAAGAATACTGACACATATAATGTAGTCAAATACTGCAATGCAAACATAATTTTATAATTGCATATTCTCAAATATAATACTTTATTAAACTTTTAAGACTATGTGATAGTTGCTATCATGTTTAATATTAGCATGTATAAATTCTAAAAAGAAGTTTAAAAATTAAGTTGATAAATGCTTAGAAAATACATACAGTTCTTATAAATCATTACTATTAATATGTCACCTAGCATAGTCAAGATTGATAAATTAAAAGGCGAGGTTTTCCCACACATGATCATTGGTGCTTTGTATTCATGAGTGGCTGTGATCATGTGAGAACCAAGCTTGTGTGTTACATATGGATGCTTCCTCTTTCATATATGTATTTGCCTTTTTGTTCCATACTACATTTAGGCTAAATGCAGGAGTCCTAAAACACAGAAACAGGGTAAGAATTCCTGAATTTTCTGATCCAAAGTATCTGGTTTTCTCTCTGTATACTGGTTTTTATCCCTTTTGGAGTTGAAAAGGAGCATGGTGAGGTGTGGATAAGGCCAAAGACCTTGGCCTCAATTCTAGTCCTGACCCTAAATGGCTAAGAGACCTCTGTAGACTTCAAATTTCTGGTCTGTAAGAGGTTACTAAGGCCTTCATCAGAGTGTGGGTAAAATTCAAGGAGATATTCATATAGAGCACTTACTGTAGGATCTGGAACACAGCAGGCACTCAATAAATGCTGCTTCTTACTCTCCCCTCCTCCTCTTGTCACACTCTCCCAAATAAAAATGGCAGAGTGGAGATCTGACTTTTCTTAACACTGTTACCTCCATATAGCAGTAGTACGTATTGTAAAACCAAAGTGAAATTAATCTGTTCACCAATTAAATTGAGATGGAGCACTTTTCATCATCTGTTCTTCTTTGCTAGAAGTCTATTAGCCAGCCGAAATACCGAGTCTAAACATTATTTACACAAAACTGATATAATAACAAAGTAGCTATTTAAAAATGATAATTATTAAAATTAAAGTAATTCAAACTCTTTGTATATGTAACTTAAATGCCAGTTTAACTGTTTTATCCCCAATAAGTTGTGTACCTGTATTTTCACATATGTGAATTTCTCCCTATGCAATTGATTTCATCAAGTTTCAAAACATACATGATTTTGAGCAATGACTGCCATCTGCTGCCCTGAGAAAGGCAGATCCATTGGAAACCAAGTTCAAAATTGGGGTCTTGACTTTGCCCTTGTCTCTGTCTTTTTTTTCAGATATCTTTATTCTCTCAGGTAGATCAGAGACTTTAAGTTCTAAACCCAATGTAAATACATATTCATATGGCACATAAAAAAGAGGGGACAGAATTTGGGTATTCATTGTAGACTGCAAGAATTTGTGTAGTTGAATAATAATACAATAAAAACAATAATAATGCAAACAACAGTTGTTTGTTAAACATATGCTGGGAAACTTAATAAGCATGGTATATATGTAGAGTCTGTGAGATAGTTCTTACCCCCATTTTACAGATATAGAAATCAAGGTACAGAGAAGAAAAGAAATTTGACTGACAGTTTATTTACAGAGGTGGGATAGGAACTCAGGTGGGATTTGGACCCCAGTACCCATGCACTCCACCACCACTACTCTATACTATACTATTGCCAAAAGAACATACACATTGTTAGCCCCAAAAATATCAAAGAGAGAAAGTAGTCAGGTCAATATCAAGATCCTATAATAGAATCACTGTATTTAACTGAGAGACCTTGAGTGTGTTACTTCTATTTTCTAAGCCTCAAGCTCCTCATCTGTAAAATGGGGAGACTTTAACCTAGAATAGAATTGTCATGAGGATTTTATGGTATAGTGTTTATAAAGCCAAGACACAGTGCCAGGTGCATTGTGAGTGTGCGAATAATGATATACTGATATGATTTCTTTTCCTACAAGACTCTGCTCTTCTCATAATACTCTCGCTATAACTAATCTGGTATCTGACCACTATTATGCTTAAGTGATAGCTGTGAACTAGGGAACAGGGTTTCCCGGGAACTGTTCTGTCTGAGGATGGGTTGATACTTAGTATCATCAAAGAGTTCACGTGTATCCAAAACTAAGAGGTATAATTCATATTCCAAGTAAGCATATATATCCTAGGCAGCCTAGGATTCCACACAGTTCCAGACACAAATTACAGCCTTCTAGGGAAGCCTGGGATTCAGTAAAAGCATAAGGTGTGAGCTATTGTTGTTTTTATTTTTATTACTCAAGGTCACTTACGCTGCATTCACACTGGTCATTGACCTCATTGGCTCCTTGTAATAATATAGCTTTGGTATTTCAAACCAGAAGTCACTGGGGGTTCTGATGATCAGATCTAGAAATGTGCCACGTGTAATATTTAGCCACAGCCACTCCTTTTAGGGTTCCAAGAAAGGAGTAAGTGTTGAGTTGGTTTATTTTCTTGACTCTTTTCCCCATTTTCTCAATGTCTTTTTTATTGTCTGAACAGACACATCATCCCAGAACAAAGCAATAAAGCCTTTTAATATGACCAAAATGGATGCATAAACTTGGTCATCACTCAAGTGGTCTCTGCAGTCCTTAGAACCCCAAAAGAGGGCATAACCCTGAGGTAGAGGAGATTAAATGGCCATATATATATATATGTGAAGCTCAAAGAATATGAGCTGGCACTGTTAGTTATGAAACTGTCCTCTATGCAGCATGTAAAACAAATTTGGAAGAGAAGAGTGGGCCATGGAAATGAAAGGAATAAAAAAGCAAATATTTCTTACCCTGCATTTTTTCACAAACAAACCCATAACCTTCTTTTCCACAGTCTTCAAAATACCATTTTCCAGTGAAATGAAAATTAGGATTACTTGACAGCAAGGCACAGAGAGGAATGTGTTTTTGAAATTCAGTGGTGTTACGACTTGGAGCCTTAAAAGAATACATGTTTTCAAAAAAGGTGGTAACATATAACATTATTATAACATTGACATTTTTACTAAGGATATAATTTTTAAAATTCAAACACCATTATTCCTTCACTTGCTTTTAATAAACCTATTCACAGATCACTTCATAACCTACAAAATAAATAAGTATTGTGATGAGTAAAGTAATTACATTTATGGAACATATGAAAATTGCATGAAATTACATTATTAAAAATTAATATATTAATAACCAACTAATAAAAATTTATGCCTACAAAATATAGGAAGTGGAAAAGAACTTCAGTAAACAAGTCTCAAATAAGATCTCTTGGTAAAATGATTTCCAAAAGATAAATCTTAAAACTTACATTTATTATATCAAATGGAGACCAATTAGAAAATGACACAGGCCTTCCATTTAGCCATTTTTCATAATCATCATATTGTAACCCTATCCACATGTTAGTGGTCTGGCCAAAAAGATTCATAGTAATGAACGCTGAAAAATAAGAATATGTTATCAAATTTAATACCATTAAAACCATTTGGGTAGTCATTGAATTCTATTTATAGCTATGATTTTATTTAAATGACAGCAAGACTTAATTAAAAATCAATTGTAGGAATTTTTTACTTTGTCCTTATTAAAGTGATGCAGACTCTTTCACTTTTGTCCAGTTTAAATTGACAGAAATTAGCTGACTAAGCCTGGGATTTCATCACACTGTTAACAAAACAACTTCCAGTGTTCATTCAACGCTCTTCTAAACAAAAGAGATTTATCTACTATAGTTAAACTAAAGCATACAATTATTGCCTAAATAGCAAATAAAGTGTGTAGGTAAATCTAAAGGGATCTAAAAAATTATACCATGCAATTATAATCAGTTATACTTTAGATTACTTTAGCCATTTTGAAATACAGATCATAAATATGTCCTTATTCTTTCCACTACTCCTGGTGAGACAAAAACTCCAAAAAATCAGCAGTTTGTAAGCAATGGAGTGTACTAACTTTTACAGATGTCATCATATAAACCTTATAGGTCAAACTGAAAATTTATGTGTCACCAGCAATATAATATTTAATATGTTGATTTGAAAATGTTAGTGTTTTGGAAGAATATCTTAATAGACACTTCAGTAAAAATGGCTATTTTTGCCTGATTGTACATTGAGTACTCTACCTTGTTCCACCTCATTTTCAATGGCAACCAGTGTCCCCCCTTCTTCAACACAGAAATCTTGAGCAGAAGTCCAGTTCTTCCAATCGCTTGGGTCTTTGGGGATTTTCATCAAAAGGCACTATAAAAAATGTCCAAAAAAGCATTCATTTCCATATTTTTCTAAATGAATTAAAAATTTCATACAGACACAGAGGATCAGCCTTGAAAATTTTTTTGTAATTTCCTTGGACAGAAACAACTCTTTTTTTCTTTTTTCAGGTGCTTCAAAGGTGTGAAAGTAAAACAAAGAAGACCAGCTTTCTGGGTGAGTCAGTGTCTTTTGTGCATTTGCAGCAGGTGGGAACGGAAGCAAGGATGTGTTTTGCCATGCGAATGGGATGTCAGAACAGTGTCTTCTGCTCAATGAAAAGTAGTATTCCTTCTAAAAAGGAGCCAGCCTTACTGCAAAGCTTACAGTGGAGGATTTAATCTAAAAAAAAATGTCTGTGAATGGCACCTAATAACTTCATTCACTTTTATTGACAAATATACTTCTGCATTTTAAGTGAGAGAGGAATATTAGGGCATCACAACATATCAGGTATTTAAATTCGCTAAATATTTGGAATCAGCAATGTGATCCAAACACCAATGAGGAAGAGCTAGACAAGAAGAAATGAGCCCAGTGGGAAGAGAGCAAGGACAGGACCAAGGAAACCTAGAAAGGAAAAACGAAGGGGAGGGTCACCAGCAGGGTCAAAGGGAACACAGAAAGAGGCTGTGGGGTTTGGCAGTGAGTGTTGATTGTTATGCATGAGAGAATCGGGTCTGTGGCATGACAGGGCTTACTCATTAGGGGATGAGAAATATGGAATGGTAACTCCTAGGCAGGACAGGCAGGGTTGAAGAAAAACACCTCCTCACCAAGCTTAATGAAATTGAAACATGTTAGTAGTGTCAGATGGAGTCAGGGGAGAGGGAGAGATAGAGAGAAAGGCTGTAACAGATCAGGCAAAGTTCCATAGAAATCAGGAGACAGTTTGTACAGAAAATATTCTATGTGGATTATTTTCTCATTAATGAACATAGACAACCCTAGTCATTGATAGATCAAATCTTGAGATCTTGCCACTGAGAAAAATTCCAGCTGCAAGATAATTCTATCTGATGCAGCAGCTTACACTTGAGAGAGCATCCTTTCCCATCCTTCTTTAATCTCTTCAGTTCATCTGTCCCCATTCCTTCCCCACCTATCATAAATTCCTTAAAAAGCAGAGAGACTAAGTGTTGCTCCTCTTTGAACATCACAACCAAGAAGGGCCAACTTGCTCCTCAGGTGACATTTTGATAATTTCTGGAGACATTTTTGTTGTCACAACATGAGCAGGGGGCTGCTGTTGGCATCTAGTGAGTAGAGACCAGGATGCTGCTAAACGTTCTATAAGGCACTGGTCAGTCACTCACAACAAAAATATATCCAGCCCCAAATATCAGTAGTGCTCAGGTAATTCTTTTCAGAACTTAGTCCTGAACACATCACTCGTTAGTTTAAACACTTCAGGGATTTTCCACTGTTCTTAGGATAAAAACCAGAAATCCTGATCTAGCCTGAGGTTGAGTTGCCAACTAAGAGAGGAAGTACATTTTCAATTCTTCTGGGCCCCTTTACCTTGTTTGCTTCACAAAGAAATGGAATTGGCTTTAAAGGATTTTAATTTTCTAACAACTATCCTTTTATCTATTTCCTTTCTTTTTGCCTCTTTCCTCTAATTACAAATTCCGAAGAGTGGCACATACTAATTATTAGGAAGTCTTATCATTTAATGCGAATTCACCTTGTGTTCAGATAGTCACACTAATGAACCATTCATAAATACCAATGAACCTCACTGGTTCATTTAGCTCATGACATCTCTCCAGGAAACACATGCAGCCCCTTCCCACCCAGTGCCACTGCTACCCTGTTTGCTTCAGCCAGGATTTACTAGCTTGACTCTGGGAGTATAGCCTCCATTACCACAGCTTCATTGTTTCTAAAAATATAACATGTTTACTAAAGCACTTTGGAATGGTGTCATTAATAATTAAAGCACAGCAGCAAGATGAAGTACAACACCCTTAATTTTAAATTGTTTATTTACTTACTAATTTGCAAAATGTAATCAAGTTTAATGCATCTCTAATCATTATCATGAATTAAGGATATCTTTTGTATTCCAAACAAGTTTTGACTATAAAATTCTTTTTTTCTCCAAGTCATTTCCAGCTCAAAATTTGAAAATGGAATTCATGGTCTTCTTCCCAGATTGGGACCTTTTTAAGTGGTCTTACTGACTTTGAATGGCACAGTCAGTCATGCATCTACACAAGCCTGAAACCTGGGTGTCTTCTCACCCTTCAGGCACCTCCATCACCCTTCAGTCCTTCTATTTGGACATCCCATTTCTGAGTCCTTCACCACTCTTCCTGTTCCCACTGCCTCTCAGTCTCTGCAACCACGACTTAGCCAAAACGACTTCTCTCTTGTCTGGACTATAGCTTCCTAAGTGCTCTTACTTTCCTCACACTTGCCTTCCTCCAGTCTGTCTTTGGTACTGCAGCCTGAATGATTCTTTTCAAAACTCAATCCTGATCATGTCCTTCTTCAGTTAAGACCCTCTGGGGTTTCCCATTGCTCTTAGGATAAAAACCAGAAACTCTTAACACAATATCGCCCTTGCCTGCTTCTTTTGTCTCACTTTCCACATTCTAGTTCTTTATACCTCTTTTTGTTTCTTCAGTATGTCACATCCTTCCCACCACAAGACCTTAGCACATGTTGTTTCTCCTACTTCTAATGCCTCCTGTCCTTCTGACCCCCTCAGTCAGGTCCTCCTGTTACATACTTCTATGGAACCGTGTGTCTCTCCATCACTTGTGTCACAGATTAGATTAGACTTATTTTCCTGATTGATTTACTAATGTTTTTTTCCCCTCTAGTCTGTAAGCTCCAGAAGAGAAGGGATTGTATTTTTTCCTCACTGTTGAATCACCAGTATCCAACATAGTTAAATGGAATGAATGAATAAAGTGCTAAGAATTTGAATAATTCAAAAGAGGAGAGAATTTTTTTAAAGGAAAAACTATGTTGTGCATGAAATGAAATATTGGCTAATTCCAAACTAGATATTACAAAGCAGCCTTTCGCATTAAATCCAGATCCTTGAATAAAAATGTGTAAGTAGAAGCACAGGAGTTAATCTAATACACACACACACACACACATACACACACAGAATTTCTTTCTCTTACACACAGCTCTGCTGTGACAAGCATCTTGGATGACTCACTCTTCCTGGGGTAATCCCTGGCCAAGCCTCTTTCACATCATCAAACCTGGGGGAATAATTTATGAGACATGAGAAAAGATGCTTAACTTCTGATATCTCGGTTTTAAAACTCTTAAAGGTGGATAGTCAACCAACCAACCAGGATTTTTTTTTCTTAGAAATAACCAATAAAAATTAGTTCTAGGAAGTTGACAAACAAGAAAAGATTCAGTAGAGCGTAATATATTGACACTCATTCAGAACTGTGAAGTGAGTGATGTTTGTCATTGCTATCTACCAGTTTTCCTTCCATAGCTTTTGTTTGTTTGTTTGCTATCAGAACCATCCCCACTGGGCTTTCTACTCTTCCCAACTATCAGTCCTCTTCCCAGCTTTTCTAAAGATCTGATAAACCCACTTATTCCAAAATGTAGATGATAGAAGAGGCAATCTCAGAAATACGTCCCTGAAAACACGTCACGTGTTCAGGCAAAGGCATGAAACTCCCATGGTGGGATTTTAGCCATTGAGATGCATAGGTAGTCAGTGTGGGTGGGGAGACACAGTTGGGGACCCTGAAACCTCACCCTGTGAAGCCTGCTGTGACAGTATAATAACAAAAATACAAATAACCCAAATAAAATAATGGGCAAAGGACTTGAATATACATTTTTTCCAAAGACAATGTACAAATTGCCAATAAGCACATGTGAAAATGCTCAACATCATTATTCATTAGGGAAAAGTGAATCAAACGACAATGAGCTAACACTAGACTCTACTGTTGGCAAAAATCAAAAAGACAGGTAACAAGTCTTGTCAAGGATGTGGAGAAAATGCTAGCATACATGTTGGCAGGACTGTAAAATGGTTTAGCCACTGTGGAAAAAAGTTTGCTCGTTCTTCAAAAAGTTAAACATAGAATTAGCATATGATGCAGCAATTCCACTCCTAGGGATATACCCCAGAGAAGTGAAAACAGGGACTCCAACAGATACTTGTATGCCAATGTTTATGGAAGATTTATTCACAATAGTTAAAAAGTGGAAACAACTGAAGTCCATCAACAGATGAATGGATAAAGAAAATGTGGCATGGAATATGATCCAGTTATAAAAAGGAATGAATTTCTGATGCATGCTACTCAGGTATTATTGAATATTTGCTATGTTTCTCATATTGAAATGTACAAATAATTTCTACTCGGTAGAACGATTTTACAGTCTGAGAAAATAAGCAGTTGAAAGTATCAACTATTAAAAATAGTGTTTCTCAGTACTATGTAACATTTTAGAGAATGACTATATTATTTTAGAAAATATATCTCAATACCACTGGACTGACTGTACCATGGGACTAAGATGGTGTGGTGATTCTTAAGTTCTTATATGAAATGGCAGCTGTAGGAAGGGGACAAGTCTCAAGACTCAGGGTCAGAAAACCTAAGGTTGATTCTCAGCTTCACACTTATTCATTGTAAGTTTCAGAAAAACCACACAATTTTGTTAGCCTCAGTCTTGTCATATGTAAGATGGGATAGCAGTTGGTATATTTTAAAAATTCAATTATTTATATATATATATATATATATATATATATAATTTATATTTATATATTCATATATATATGTGAAATCACCAGTAAAAACAGCTACAAGGTGGAAGAATCCACCAATGGATAAGTGGAAAAACAAAATGTGGTATATGCATATCATAGAACATTATTCAGTTTTAAAAAGGAAGAAAACTCTGACACATGCTACACATGGGTGAACCTGGAGGACATTACGCTAAGTGAAATAAACCAGGCACTAAAGGACAAGCACCGTATGATTCCACTTACATGCAGTATCTGATGTAGTCAAATTAACAGTGATAGAAAGTAGAATGGAGGTTGCCAGGGGCTGTGGGGAGGGAGAATGAGGGATTGTTGTTTAATGGGTTTAGAGTTTCAGTTTTACAAGATGAAAAACGTCTACAGAGTCATCGCACAGCAGTGTGCTCGTACTTAACACTACTGCACTACGCATTTAAACATGGTTAAGATAGTAAATTCTATATTATGTGAATTTACCACAATTAAAAATACTAGTGCCAAATATGTGGTGGATGCTCACTAAATGTGTGTTAAATACAAATAGCCCTGTTTCACAAGTTAGCAATGAGAGGAAGATCAAAGGGAGGGAATGCCCTGCCAATATAACTAAATATATAGCCTGAAAATTGGTTGTCCACGAAGGAGGAGCAATTTCATATTCACATATGAAATTATGACACTGTTTGAGTTTTTTAATTATCAAAGAGTTAAACATTTATAATTTGAGATGCATTTTTAATTACTTCCACCTAAGTCCTATAAAGTTACTTTATTTTAAAACATAAGGAGTAGAGGGGCAGTCTCAGCCTTAATTGGAAATAGTATCAGAAATAATAAATCTGATTTACAATATCCCCACTGGCCATTTAAAAAAAGTCAATTCTGCATGGAAGCACCAGCTTTATGAGGTTCGAGCTATGTTGTTCGTCTGTCAGTTCACAAGGTGGGCAGAGCTCTCTGCTGGTTCCAGGCAGGGAAGACACAAAAACAAGGTGATGGAGACTGGGTCCTCTGGAGTTGACAGCTCATTTGGGAACAGGGCCTGGATACGCATGCACATGTGCACACACACGTGTGCACACACACTCATCACACCTAACGAAACAGCCATACAGCACAATGAATGACAATGTTAGTAGCAAAAACTGAGTATACAAAGGAAGGGTGGTGCCAAGGCTGTTTTTGACAAAAATGTTTTATTCTAGGAGATCTGTCCCTAAATAGAAAACTTCTCAAATCTCTTGAAAATTGTGACCAAAAAAGTTCTAGGTCCAATGGACATCTCATGGTTTTTCAAAGCCACATCTACTTTTTGATTACTTTCTAAATTTAACATCTACAAAAGAGAAACAAAAGCAATTTTTTGAAAACAAATTTACCTTGTAATTGAAATACAGCCATCCCTTGGGACACGTTCCATGTTGTTTTGGTATATCTCTCTCTTTCTCTATGACCCAAAACTTTTTTCTCTTACAGATGCTAGGCATAGAAACTGAGCACTCTTCACTAGCCCAGAGTCCTGGAGGAGAAAAATGGAGTAGAAATGACTAGAAACAATGGTGACTCTTTGTAGGCATTTTCTGTTGGTCACTAATATTTATGACTGCTGTGGTTTCCCATACTTTGTTAAATCTAGAAATTGAACTAAATTTGACTATAATCACAGAGTTCTCTAGTGATAAGAGCTTATTGGGCAAGGTGCCAAATCAGTTATTCTATTCAAAAATTTAGAAATTTTGCAAATGCAAAAAAAAACTAAACAAATACTGCAATTGAAATAACAAAACTGACTAAAAGTTCTAAGAATATTTGACTTGGTTAGCAAAAGAATACTTTGTAATCTTTTTGTTTTAAAATATTCAACTTCAAAGTAAATAGAGAAAAAATGACTAGAACAATAGATGATCATTTCTACTTTATATTTCTTAAGAAAATACAATAATTTAGAAAACATAACTCAGGAACTTATAAGGAAGAAGCACTTCTCAACACTAACACTCAAACAAAACACACACACCTAGAGACATGCCCTCAGGAAGATATATCCCAAAGCCCTTAGCCTCCTGGAAATTTTTTTTTTTTAATTTAGAAGAGCTGTATTTTCAGAGTAAAGGTTATAGAATGCATTTCATTAGCATTCAAATTATAAATTCCAGAATAGGGCAAGGATGCATGTAAATTGCAAAGGCAGATTCAGTTTTCTAGTGTGAGGGGTATGAGCCAAAAATATGTTGGCATTTTGAAGGAGGGGCTGGAATGCTATTTTCAATGCAGATTAGCTGCTATTCTTCCAGAATCACCAAATAGCCTTTTTGTAGGCTGTTGTGACACCTGCTGGCAAAAGCAAGCTGATTAACAGCATGGTTTTCCTCTCCTAACTTTCTGCAGCTGCCCTTACACCAAAGATTGCTTTCCAAGTTTATCCTCCTCCTCATTTGGGGCACAGGTTCTTTATGAATCTGTTAATAGTCAACAGCATCATTACCTTTTATGGGATAGAAAGAGTGGGGCGGATATGAGTGGACAATCAACCCAAATAACAACTGTACTTATGAACAGAATTTTAAAAACTCATCTTAAATGTACACGTACTTCTAAATCCAACTTGCAAACAGTTGCTGTTCTAAAGCAAGCAGCAATGAATGCCAGGTATTTTTAAAAAATACTGAATTCAATGATAATTTTTCTTAAATGGGGAAATGGAAGTAAATTTCAGAGTTTAAAATTCTAGCCAGTTTAAACTGGATACTAGAAAGATTTTTTTAAACAATGGTCACATACTGAAATTTCATAGAGAATAGTATTTGTCAGGCATACTTTTGACCAATTTCAATGGGTGCACTTTTGGTGATGTTTTGGTATAAGAGGAAGTACTTATCTGGATGTAAATTGCTTTCAAGAACAAGAATACATGGAATAAGCTGTAGCAATGATCATCCTTAAGACTTAAGACTGATGAAATTAAGTATATTCAGTTGAAAAGCAAAATACCCAAATAAAACCTTCTCACTGAACTAATGCAATGAAAAGGAGACTTCAAGCCTCCCGAAAATTATGTTTGTATTGTAAACCCAAAAAGTGGATGTACAAAATAACCTGTTATGGATGAAATGAAGCCACATCTCTGGCTCTGATTATTCATAGATCCTTCTATTCCTTTGTCCCAGTTCTGGTATATTACAGGTGACCCATCTCTCCAGCTGTAGGAAAATTAAAAAATTAAAAGTCTTCTCTCATCCTGCGTGTTCAATCTCCAATACCATTTTTGGTGTTCTGGGGCATGGATTGAAGGCATAATGTTTTATTGAATTAAAAAAAATACTCATGTCTTTGGTTAGGGAAATGAAAATTTATAAGTTAAAGATAATATTTGAAGGCTATTCAACAAATTAACCACTAAGATCTAGTCCAATCATTCTGCAGATAAAAACCTGTCAAACAAAGTCAAATGCAAATTAATCTAGGTCCATACCGAAATTCATCATTGGCTCTTTCTTCTCGAAGTCCAATCCACCAATTTACACCATACTTTGATAGCTATTTAGAAAAAGAGAGAGAATGTCAGCATTTATTCCACTAGTTTTCCCTTTTCACTATTAAGATTAATGGGGTTGCTGTTAATAGCTTTCTGTTCTTCAGTATTTTATGCAATTATCTAAAAAAGAGTACTCTAAGGCCTAGCATCGTGAGAAAACCTGCAACTTCATTATTCTAAACTATTCCCTCCTCGTCCTGGAGGAAAATTGGGACAAAATATTGAAAATAATTTTACTTTCATACAACATGCCATAACTTTGTTACAATGTTTCCTATATATTTAAAAGTAAAATTTCTAACTCTCCTAATAGGGATTTTAAAAGCAACACTGTAAAGTAAAATAGAATGTGGATTCCTTTATGTGACAGAAAATTGAGTGGTTTATCCTCTCAGTGATTTATAGAAGTTCATTGCGAATGCCCCACTACTTGAAAAACAATTCAAGGCACAAAGACCTCAATAGTGAAAAGAACTTGTAGTCTAGGCGTTAGTCTGATTGGTGAGCTTTTGAATTAAGTATTATCACCCTCCCTATTCATGTAGAAACCACAACACAGGACAAGAGAATACCACAGTATTTCTAGTGCTTGACAGCAGGAAAACTATCCTTTGTATATTTTATTAATTTACACCACTATTTATCACATAAATCTCAGTGCAATAAAGACCAGACTTGAAACACCACACACATGCACGTGCACACACACATTAGAGCAGATGTAATACTGGACTTACAACCCAGGAAACTGAAATTCCCTCTTTAACTATAAAAGAAGAAGAGGCAGTAAGGATTTCTCTAAGACCTCTGAATCAATATACTTTACTGTGTGTGTGTTGTGTGTGAAATGTAACTTAATTTTTTATGCTAAAAACCTGTTAATTTGAAGGCATTATACACTTAAATTTGCACTTCCATTTCTTCTGTAAAGACTTGGGAATGCATTTTAAGATGTATATATTTTTTTCCATATGAATTTCAGGTCATCATACAACAGAACCTAATAGCTCTCTAACATTCTGATTTATAAACAGGTATTTTCACTCTTTAACCAGGATGGCTGTCTGCCATATCAGCAATTTGAGAACAATATAAGATGGAGCAACTATAATTTTGGATCCCTGAAGTGTTGTTTCATGGACGTGTTCTTACATGCTGAATTTAGATTCCTATTGTCAGACGTTGGAATGGGTCCATGGAGACTGGCTGGGAACTCAGTGGGAGAACCACAACAATTTCATTCAGTCTAAAGAGGTCTCATATGCAAGAATGGTGGAAATCATGGCCTGCTAGTTCACTGCCCCAATTAAGGACCTTAAAGAGAAATTATAACTACTGTATTCTAAGTGGCATATTTATTACCACCTCAATTATAGTGTGGAATCCTCCAAATGGCACATCACAACCTGTTGTAATATGGAACAGAACTTCATAGTACAAGCTAGAAGACAGCCAGAGTGAAAAATCCATGTGAAAAATAGATGTTGTAAATTTTAGTTTAGGTATGAAACAACAACAATAGAAGACGTAAGTATTTATATAAAGAAATGTGTTACACTCGTGGACTTTATAATATCAATTATGTTTTGTTACAGTAATTATTGATAGCATGATATGGGAAGAACATTTACCAAAAATAAATAAACCATAGTAATAGCCAATATATTAGTCTTCTAAGCAATATGAGGAATAACAACCCATCATCTCTTAAAATATTTCCATAAAAATAGCAAAACAAAGTTATTTTAAGGATTTAAAACACTAGATTTTAGAAGATGACTACTAGATTTGATATATTTTTGTTAGAAATATTTTGAAATAAAATTTTAAAAATAAAAGTAAATTACAATTTTCAAATGCAAATACTGTACAACACAGCACAAAAATGTTAGCTTATGTCAAACAACTCCTTAAGTGCTTGTGGTTTTTTACTTTTTTGGCATTGATGTGAAGAACAAAATGGCTCAAAAACTAGTACTCAAAAATTCCCTCTCATCATGCCTTGTGGTCTTCCGTTAGTCAAAGAGAAAATTCTGACTCATTTTTCCAAGATGGAAATACTCTCTTAAAAAATTCTGCTCCAGATTTTAAAAAATGCATCCAGCTTCTTTTTTAATAATTAGTTTTCTATTCCCCTCAACTGAATGCTGTTTTTGTCTTTCACGTTCCCGAGTTACTACTCTTCGTAGAGGAGCTATACAACACGTATGCAATTACAGGATGAGTGTGCCGTGAAAATGAGTAGTATGACCTTTATATGTTTACTTCCTCATCCTGGACTTCTGGACCGACCCATTCCAGTAGGATGTTCTTAGATATGGGATTTCTTCCTTAAGAATTTTAAATGGTCACCAAAAATACCACCACTACCACCAGCAAAAATTGCCTAATAGTTACAAATTATGCAAAAGGAAGAACTGCTTTAGAAACACACAGCATTCTTTTTTCTAAATTGATACCCTTTTCCTTTGGCTCTCTTGTCCTAATCTCAGTCTCCACATTCTGTACTCTCCAATAACTTTCTTCTGTAGCACAGTGTGGTATTAGATAAGTCAGCCACTCACTCATAATACTGACAGGGCATTCTGTATTAACATGGTCATAGGCTGGGTAACAATTTTGCCATACAAGACACCACAAGGTTGGTCTGGTTTGAGATCACTAGATCTAGTCCTCAACTAGATCATGGCACTGGCTATATCTTCTCAAATGGCTAAGCCTGTGGGGTTTTACTATTCCCTTCAATGGGTAGTATTAATTCTGCCGTTCCCACTGGCTTCCCAAACACCAAAGATTAGGAGAGTGAATTAAGGGAAAGGTGAAGAGAGAAGACCTGCAGAGTTTCCCCCAAAAGAGCTAAGCTCTGTTGGAAAGATCAAAGAAGCCCTTCATTGTTCATGTCTGAGGCAGAGCTGGCAGCCATCTTTTGGGGAGGGATTTTATTTTGTTTTATTTATTATTAAGTAATTAATTGAAGTATAGTTTATTTATAATACTATATTAGTTTTAACATAGTGATTTTTCAAATTTTTATAGATTATATCCCATTTAAAATAATGGCTATATTTCCTTGTGCTGTACAACATAGCCTTGTAGCTTATTTATTTTATATATAGTAGCTTATACCTTTTAATCCTCTACCCCATCTTGCCTCTCCCCCTTTCTCCTTGACTGATAATCACTGTTTGCTCTGTATATCTGTGAGTCTGTTTCTGTTTTGTTATATTCAATTATTGATTCATTTTTTAGATTCCACATACGAGTGACAATGTTTAGTGTGTATCTTTCTCTGTTTGCCTTATTTCACCAAGCACAATATTCTCCAGGTCTATACATGTTGTTGCAAATGGCAAAATTTCATTTTTTTTATGACTAATATTCCATTGCATGTATACGCCACATGTTCTTTATCCATTCATCTGTTGATGAGCACTTAGATTGACTCCATATCGTGGCTATTATAAATAATGTTGCTATGAACATTGCAGTGCGTGTATCTTTTTGAATTAATGTTTTCATTTTTTCCCCAGATATATACCTAGGAATGGAATTGCTGGGTTTAGTTCTCTGAAGAAACTTCATACTATTTTCCATAGTGGTTCCATCAATTTACATTTCCACCAACAGTGCACAAGGGTTTCCTTTTGGGGGAGGGATTTTAGAACTAGCATTTTAATATAATGAACATAATATTCTGCTGCCCATCGTGGTTTTTTAAATGACGTAAGTCAGATAACCTGGGTTCACTTCCAAATTCCACTACTTAGCTGTTGTGTAACAAAGTTGCTTCACTTCTTTGGAGTTCTAGCTTCCTCATCTATAAAACGTAACTGATGATAGACTTCCTATAGAGAGCTCTTGGAAAGATTAAATGCCATTAATTATTAGTGGTTAGCAATGCCTGACACTGTGACAATAAGTATTGGCCAAATATCAGCTCCTTTTGGAACGTGCACTTTGTCATTTTGATAGATTCATTTTTAATAAATCACCTGATTTCTTGTAATTGCCACCAGGGGTGAGAAAAGAAACAAATATATTTTCTGACATCATCATTGTAATTTGTTGATACTTAATATTACAGTTTTGGCTTGTGTGTTCCATGTGTAGGAGATGAAGAGTGGTAAAATAATTCATGAACTAATAGTAGGGAACATCTGGGTTCCATGGTTGGTCTGCCACTGAGTCTCTGTGGGACCATGGGGTTGTCACCCAACCCCCCTGTTTCTTGGCTTTTCCATGAAAACTCAGTAGTAGTTTCAACCTGCTTGTAGCTCACCGGCTGCATGTGTGCCAAACAAAAGTACAGAAACAGGAAAGCCCTATGAGCTGTGAGGGAAGGCATTTCTCTTACAAGTCAAGATGCTTTCAAACAGAGCTTCATTTTAACAGTCAACTTACAAACATATGAAAAGATGATAGAGTGAGAAAGGATTCCTGGAGACCATGAAATAATGTTCAATTATGGGGAAAAAAAGGCTTTTTCTTACCTTCAACATTTTCCTGGGGAAAATTGGGAATGAGGTTTTCCCTCCCTGGGTGCCCCCTTTGTAATTTGCACATACTTCTCCCTTTTCACTTACTACATCATATTATTTCCAGCTTTTAAAAACAGTGACTGTATCTCCTTTCTGTGTCCTTGACATCTTTCTGTCCTTGACAAATACCACAGTGCCTGAGACATACCTAATGCTCAATAAATGCTTGTTGAAGAAATACACTGAAAATCAACACTATTCCTTGCCAGTCTATTTCATTATTTAACAGATTTTGCATGTTCCTTTCTAATTAGCCTAGCTCCTCAAAGGATTAAGTCCAGTCTTTCTTAAGTTGAAATAGAGAACCACTTGTTACCATTTTCTGTAGAGTATTAAAAAATATTGTACTCTTATAAGTAAAATTTGAAACTTTAAAACAGCCATGCACTTCCCAGTACTCCTTGTCCTTCATTTGTGTTTTATTTTCCTCCACGGCATTTACCCATTTATCTTTTTCTAAATATTACATAATTCTATTTACTTATATTGATCACAGTCTTCCTCCCCAGACTAGACCATGAACTCCAGGAGGGCAGGAATTTTGGTCTGTTTTAATCCCTGATAGAGCCTCAGCCCCTAGAAAAGTAGACTCTGAATAAATACGTGTTGAGTGATGGAATGAGCCTCACAAAAACAATGAAACTCTACTTACTCATTATTGTTGCTAATAAAGCATTGAGGAGAAGTGAAATGACTGACCAGCGTAGTAAGCCTGTGTTTCCATTATTTTCTCTAAATCTCTATAACAGGAAGGAAAAACAGTTCTCAAAACTCTAAAGCTTTTAACGAAACTTAGATGTCTGAAGTCGTATAAAAACAAAATCCCGCAGGACAGAAGAAGTTGCTAAACTCTGAATTTCTCATAGTTAATCGTATTTAAGTACCGCTCTTATTTTGCTGTGGATGAATTCTTGCTCACGGGCAGAATGAATAGTGAGGATATCACTGCGCAGCCAGCCACAGACAAACTCAAAGGAGGACCATTCCGAGGCAGAGGTGTGAAAAAGGTACTCTGCATCCTGATAGAAGAGCCAGGGTGCATCTGAGAGAGAAATAAGCAATGCAGATGATGTAACAATTACTGAGCAGTATAGTGCAGATTTAGATAGGGTATGCTATGATTGACCCCAAATGTGTAATTTGGTCACTCAGCATTAAGAAAAGATGTGTGTATGTATCCACCCTCCCACATAAATAAGTATATAATTTGCTCCTCTCTCTTGGCTTATTTCATATACAAAACTTTCATGTGTATTCAAAGGTCTGGAATACATGCATATTTTAAAATCATGTGTCATGAAAACAGAGTTTAGTTATGATATTAGTCTTTGACATGTTTAATATTTATTAATTTGATTACTTATTAATGATTAATTTGTTAATTTGAACAAATTAGCTCTGGATAGACTTGACTGGAGGAATGTAATAACACAGTTATGGTACATTACAGCACGTAATCAGAAGTTCAAGAATGGCCAGAACAGTTCTTACCATACTGATACCAGGGTGGAATCTTGGGTCTCACATCTGCAAAGTGAAAGCAAGCCAGTCTGAATGACCTTTATTTATATGTGTACTATCTCTGACTTACTTCAGGTCTAAACACAGTATTTTGGACTTTGCTTTTTAAAAGGTCATTTAAGAGCCAGGTACTTTGTGTTGTTTGGAAAATTATTAGTTCTCATACTGGAAGAGGTGCCTTAAGCGAGACTTCTGGTTAAAGAAAAAAGGACGTGAACACTTGCTGAGGGCCTACTGTGTGTCACACACTGTTCCAGGTGTTTTCACTTGCTCAGTTGATAAGTAGTTTTGTTTGCTCCTAATATCATAGTGACATTTCTTCCAGATTGTACTTGCAAAATACAATATTCCACAACATAAGCAGTTATCCTCCTTTCCTAATAACTAAGCATACTGCGCTTCGGTCATCTTTTTTCATTCCTCCATGATACATTTTTTGCTAAAATAGCACAAATGGTTCATCATAAAGGTTGCTGGTACTGTGGTCCAGGGTGCCTAAATTTTAGACCTCTGTAACTGTTCACTTGGGAAAGTGCTATATATTGTTAGAAAGCAAACAGAGTAAGGATCTTATTAATATTTTTACCTCTTGGAATTTTGCATATCCATTCGTGTTTGAAACCACAGTGGGAGGGTAGCAATGTTTTATTTGCCTTATAAACAGCACAATTTCTTGCATCTTCTCCAAAATAAGTATTGTCTAAAAATGAAGAGACAACCTGCAGCAGATGAAGTTCATTATTCCTTAACAATGATCCCCCACAAAACGTTTCAAAAGATCAAAAAGGCATCCTTGTAAATAAATCACAATAGACTTCTGGAAGAAAGTCTGGTTATGATGCCAGTTAAAGGTTGCTCCATATTTGTGCAAGGTAAGCTAATCAAAATTCTAGCATTTTTTTGAAGATGCTCTTAAAAAAAAAAGTATGCTACTCCTTCTTCCAGAAGGAACAAGTCAGATAAACTTTCACTGTTTTTCACTGGCAGGCTTAGCCTAGCCCTGGGATATACTGGGTAAACTCCGTAGTGGCTCAGGGATCTGTCAGAATTGGATCTCACTTTTGATGTAAATACTTTTGGGTAACCATGAAGCTTTTAGTCTCTAATTACTAAATTATAAGTCAACCTTAGCTTCAGTCAGGAGACTATCCGATGCTTTCCATGAATGATCACAAAACAGGGGTATTAATTACAGCTTCAACCTTCAGTGATTTAATGACTACCTGACAGAAGAGTAGATGGACCACGAGTAAAATTGAGGTAAAAAAAGAATGTTTTGAAACCATCTGTACTCCTCCTCAAGCATGTACACAGTCATACAACAATTCATCTAACTTATATATAACTCACATTCAGAGAATGGCATGAGTCTGATATTTATTCTGTCCAGAGGGAAGTGGCGAGGGACTCAGTCCACTGCTTCGTGGCTTTACCTCATTGGTCCTGAACCAAACTGTCTCCTCTCCTATGACTAATGACTTTGTTTTACCAAAACGCATTCTCAATCTCTATGTACCATATTTTATTTTTCAAGTGCTGCACTGATGTTAACCATCCAACTGTGCCCTGTGGTGGCTTCCATTAAAGGGGCAGGTCGACCCTGCTGTGCCCTCTCCGCTTTCTGGGCCTTGGTTTCTTTATCCGCAAAATAGATGGGTGGGGCTGGGTGATGGCTAAGATCTCTTCCCACTCTCTGGTCCTGATGCCCTTTGCAAAGAAGAAGCCCTGGGGTGGAAATGTTATCTTTTTAAAACTAGCACGTTTGTATTATTTTTGTTCCCACTGTGAGCATATAGCTTTTCCACCAACCCTTTCCTTGCTACAAATTTGAACATCATCTGTGTAGCAGGCCTTGAGGTCCCTTTTCTCTGCTGATCTTTACTGTTTCCAAGTTCAGCTGCTGATATTTTGCCAACAAGGAGACACTATGACATTGTGGCTTTGGAGGCAGACAACCTGTGTACAAATACTGTCTTTCTTAGGTATTATTTTAGGCAAACTATTTAATCATTCTAATACCCACTATATGGAATCATTATAAGGATGAGACGAGATCGTGCAGGTGTGCACTCAGCCCAGCGCTCAGAACATAATTAGGGCTCAGTGAACAGGAGCTGCATTAAATGCTCACCGCAGGCGGTTGCTAGCCCCCAGTTCACAGGTGAAACTGAATAATTTTGGCATGTGCCCTCAGATGGATCTCATTTAATCTAGGATGCTGCTTCTGTGTTTTTCCCCTATCATCTTGAGGAAAACCTGAGAGTTCCTCATGGCACCTGAAAAAAAATATAATTCTGAGTTCCCTCTTTCCTTCATAGAGGTTTTTACACACATGAGACTGAATAAAAAAACTAGTCCTTCTTTTTTCCTTCTAAGTAACCTGTTCTGGCTGAGAAGGAGGTGATAATTCTAAGGCTGGCCTCGTTGTCCTTCTAGAGTAACAGAAACTGAAATGCCTCTTTTCACTGTGACACAGATAAGAGTCACACACTCACACAATCAGGTGCTATGCAGGAGTGGGGAGGGCAAAGGAAGCCGGGTATTATTTTGTAGAATAGTTGCTTCTCAGCTGGAGATTCTTCACATGGGAGATAGTTTGGGGGCTTTTCCTGAGATTTTGATTCCTTTTTAAGATGAAATCTTATAGCTGGCCTCAGAACTATCTGGCTAGCTAAGGTTTCTCAGGACCTTGCCAAAATAACTCTTTCAGAACCAAGGTTAGGTCTGAGTCATGGGAAAGATGGTCATTATTTCCAGGTTCTCTTGGTTGGTTTACCAAGTGGTTCCAGGACCACCTGCTTTGAATTCACTTCCTTTTTTCTAGTTTGGGAAGACTTACAGGAGTTCCATCAGACCACTCCCAAGAGCCAGCATTCAGTGGGTTTCTTTTATTAAATCCAATCCAGAACTGCCTTTCTTCTGTCCTAAGAAGAGAAGAAACAAAACGTTGGCCCTTCCCATTGAATTACAGCATTATGTAAAAGGTTGAAGAAATATTTTAAAGTACTTAGGTGTGCAGGAAACAGCTGGTGCCACTGGTAGAACTGATGAAGTCAACAAACATTTACTGAGCATTTCCTAAAGCAAAACCTGAGCTATGAAATGAACCGAGAGAAGATTTAATCTCACTTCCCATTTCTCTTAGTTTGTATAGTGTGCTCACTGGTGATGGGCAGCTAGGGGAAAGTCAGCCCATATGGAGAATGTGGCTCTCTCATGTTCATTAGGAATGGCAATACCTTTCAGTTAGGATAGGAACACATGAAAGCAAGTTGGTAAGAAATTAGGGAACATCTTTTCCCTGTAGGACTGTTTGTTGACTATTTTACTATTTATACTAATTTACTTCGTTTTAATTTGTTGCTCTTTTGTCAAATGTTCATGTATTCTTTGAAGGTTAATCGCCACCATCCCCATTTAATAAAAGGTACACAGCAGATTTGGGGTTTTATTCAGGTCCCAACATAAATAATTCCACAATGAATCAGTCTGAGGCACGGTAGATTAACTTCAGCAGTCCCCACTGGTTAGACTTGGCGAGAAGCCCCATGGAGAACCATCTTCCCTCCTATTAGGTGGAGGACAAATACGTCAAACCACAGAGTACTCAATAAATCAAGCAATAAAGCTAATTGTACAACGAACCGTCTCACTAAGATAATTTTCTGAGAATAATTTTGAAGAATTAAAGGCTTAAAAGATTCAGAAGTCATGACAGATGCTTTATTTTCCTTAGTGCACAGAGGCAAGCCTCTTCAGAAGCATCCCTTTGTCAGCTGTTTGAGTTCCTCTGCCCGAACAACACAAATGAAAGTAAAATGTTGCTAAGGAAATGCCAGAATCACTGAGGCCTGTTGCTCACTGCCATGATTCTAACTCACACGTGAGGTCCTGGCAAGGTGAGAACACGGCCTTGAAGTTATGCCAGGCATGTTAATCTCAACGCCCAGGCTGCAGACCCACATCACTCTCCCCAGTTTCAGAACTATTTATTCCTTTCCTCACTGGATTCAGAGTTCTCCATTTTTCCTGCCATACACTGGCTCCTAGAAGATGAACTGGTATTTATTTCCTCTCTACCAATTTCCTAAACTTGTATAATTTTAAGTAATTGACATAATATAATATGAATATAGTAAAGTAGAAATAGAAGAACAGTGCTGTGGGAAGGAGAAGAGGCATATACACTATCTATGAGAATTGGTCTATTTGCTATAATTCAGCATCAGATTTGGCTGAACTCCCTGGCAGTCTGGGCAAAATGTAAAACAAACATGATATGGCTTTTGGGATTAGGTGCTAAAGATCAGTAATCTGATAAATGCTTGACATTCCAAATGTGAGAATTTATATAAATAGAAATCATACAATGATATTTGATGTTACAGCAAACTTGGAAGCACTTTGCATGTGTTGTTTCATGGGGCAAACCTTACAGTATGCCAGTATGAAAGGATGTTTTGCAAGGGGCTGAAGTCAGGAAGCCAAGTTACCATTTAGAACAATGGAGACTATCACATATCCCTTGGATCTGAGGCCCTACATCAGACTAACAATCCAATCAACCAGGAAGCTTCTTGAACTCTTCAACAGCCTCAGAGAATCTGACTCAGCAGCTCTGGTGTGAGACCAGATGGTCCCATGTGAAAAAGTCTCCCAAGTGAGTGTGACAATCAGCCAGGTTTGGGAACCACAGTCTCAGGTCAGCGTTTCCTGCAGGGACTAGCAGTTCCATGGGATGTTGATAAGTGGTCTCAAAAAAAAAAAAAAAAAAGAAAAATTTTTCTGTCAAAGAAAGTGCTTCCTTCCAGAAGCCTTTACAATGCTAATGTATATGGCAAATTTCCAAGATTAGGCTTTGTTTTGCAAACATATTTGACCACCAAATTCCTGTTTTCCCACGGAGTATTGCACGGGACACATACTGGGAGACGTTGTTAGACTCCCACCTTTGAGGTCATTTTTGTAGATGCTGGAGGTGAATAATTTGATAGATGTTACATATTGACCTTCCTATGGAGTGTCCTAAAGAAAACTTATAGGAGAAGGTTAGGATTTTCTCCAAAAAGGGATTCTGGGTTTCCTCTGAGTTTTAGGCAAGTGTTTCACCGAGACTTCAGATTTCCAGAGCTTAGAGCAGAGTACCTGGTATATTAGTTTGTGTTAAATAAATGTACGGAGGCGTGCACCTCTCCACCCTCAGGGGCGGGATTTTGTCTGTCATGTCTATTGGATTCTCCAGTCAACAATGCTTATAATAGTGTCCCTTCCATAGCAGACATTCCTGAAATATACACTTACTGACAAGAACATTCTAGGGAAAGAGGCCAAGGGTTGGGAAAGTCACTAAAAGAGAACATGATGTATGTCTTTAAATATTTGAAAATAGAATAAATTTGATCTGTATTGCTCTGGTGTACTAGAAAGTTGATCTTTGAAACTATCCTCTAGCAATGGAATGGACTTTATCCCAGGTAAGGAGCACTTTGAAACTGAAAGGAATTATGTAGACAGTAGATGACCACAGGAATGTAGAGGAAGAAATTCCTGTAATGAGTCAGAGGTTCTCCAAGACCTCTTAAGTTAGTTCAGATTTAAATTTAATTGATTTTCTAACTTCATGGAGTTCAAGATTCTGTTAACTTGCAAGATGAATGCAGACAAGTGAACGTCTGTTTTCCCAAATGTAAAATTAGAAGGTTGACTGGATTTTTTTTTTTTGAGGATGATGAATATATGCTGATGGAGTTTTTTTTTAATTAGTTGGTCTTTTTTTCAAACAAAACTTTACATGAACTCCTGTTATATAACAATACAACTAGAAGTGGAGTTGTTTGGACCTGCTCTGGTGAGTTAAGTCAGTGAGCAAGAAACCAGGAGTTCCATCCACTTGGGCCCTCCTGACCTTGGGGCTCCGGGACCCTCAGGATCCTTAGATAACACTTCGAAAACCACCGGGCTAGATAATTTCTGAGTTTGACAGAAAACCTCTAAAATTCTGACTTGAAGCACACATAAAAGATTTCAAATATCAAAATTATCATCACGCTGTTCTTTGTTTTATGGAATGAGGAGTTGGTTCCATATAAATATAAAACTAGAGGTATATATTTTTCTTTCACAGCTAGTGGCTAGTTGGTTTTAGACTTAAAACAAATACCTGAGATTTCGAATATCCCAAATACCCCAAGAAGCCATTACTGGGAGATAGAATATTTGCCTGCAACTTTTCCAAAATAACAAGTATTTACCTATTAAATTTTGAATGTAGAAGCTCATTCACAAAATTCTCTTCCTCAATATGGGCAAAGCTTGCAAGATGAGCTCCAAATTCCTCACAAAATGCTTCAGCATCTCTCCATGTTCTTTTCATCAGGACTTTTTCACTATGAAATACCTGTGTAGTAAAAGGGGAAAAAAGTCAACACAACCATAAGTAAGGTGAGGCTGTTTAATTCTGGACAAGAAGATTTCAATAATAGAATAGTTGTCATTATTTCTACATTAAAAGCTTGACCCAGTAGGGAAAAATGAACTGGAATGTGTCTAGTCATTGTAAAGCTATTATCTCATTTTATTCTCACAACAAATTCATGAGGAGGCTACAATAGGCTCAGTTTTATAGATGAGTTCCTTGAAGACCCTTTTCCCCCTCTAAATTTCCTGGCATCTACTTGTCCCTTAATAAAATGTTTGTCAAGAGGTGAGGAGAATCAGAGGGGTTCCAAATTTCAGGTCACACAGCCACAGACTGGCAGAGCTAGGGTTAGACCAGTAGTCCTTAGCTGGGTGATCATGAATCTGTCTGATCTATGGCCAGAAATGAGAAATGAGACCTGGGACCTATGGCAGGTGTGTTTCTAGGGTCTTTGGGTCTTAGCTATGCCTGAATTCTTTGCTGTTTCCCAGCTGTCCTTACAGTAGCAAGAAGTCAATCAAATGGAGGGTCTGCTTTTGACTTTCCTTAGTATCAAGGGTGAGGGACTGAAGACCCAGAGCTTCAGATTCTGGGCCTCTGTACCTTCCTCATTTTTAACTGCCTGATGCTGTGTCTGAGTCTCTGATGCCATGTAGGCACCCTGCGGCCAGGCTTCGCCAGACTGATTTGCTGAGACCAGAATGAATAACCCTCCCAGTCCCATGGACCACAGCACAGCCTTTCCATCTTTTAAATTATATGTCAAAACTCACCTCCTCTGGGAATCTTTTCTTGAATCACTTTAGATTTATAAGTCCTACCACTCTGCCCATCAAACACATTGTATATCTGTTGATATATCAGGGTGATACACAGTAGACCAGAGATTTATTTCAACTCTGTCAATAAATAATTGTGATCTTGGGCAAATCACTTCACCTTGCTGCCTTAGTTTACTCATTTCTAAGGTTTAATTTATTGCTCTGTGAGGTCACTTCTGGGCCTATTATTCCACGAATTTAATGTAGGGTTATACATGTGGACATTTAAACTGAATGCATTCACAGGTGCTTCAGGCTATGAGACTGCAATATTTCTAGAGATAGAGGCTGTCTCCATTCTGCTCTGCACGTGCCCAGGTGCCAGAGAGCTTTCTGCCAGGATTTTGGAAATCTCTATTTGTAAAATGAACCAAAGACAAAACCACCAAACAAAAACATCATATTTCAAAAATGTATTTCTGAGAAGATTGTAGATACTGATTTAAATCTACAATCTATAAGCCGATTTGCAAAAAGACATTTCTTCACACACATATATACATATACAGCATATGTATGCATATATACATATATCTGTATATAAACTGTACATGTTAATTTAATCATCAAAGCTGGAAAAGCTTTTCTTTGCAGCAGAATAATATTATTCTGTAATAAGGACTTTATTGATTTGTTTAGAAACAATATGGAATTGTACCATTTCAATACCTAGTGAGTGTCTGCCTTGTTCATTTGGTATATGCAATAAGAAAAATATTGATTGTGGCCTTGTTATCAGTCCTCATGAGGAGGCCTTCAATATCACCAGGGATCTGTCAATCCTCTGATTTAAAAATTATTTTGGAATATAATGGAAAAGATAGAGACAGCCTACAAATGTTAATTGAGTACCTGCTGTATGCCAGGCACTGTTCTGGAATAAAGGAATTTGGGATATATGGACAGAACTGAAAGAATGTTGGTCTCATTGAGGATGCCCGTGTAACCTTGGCATTACCTTGAAGCAACTGGCCAGGCCAGGCCCTGACTCCCAGTCCAAATAGCAGGGGTGAAAGGGCCATCTCTCTTCCTGCTCAGTTTTCTCCTGATTTTCCACTGGTTGCTTGCACAGGGACATTGCCTTAAAGTGCCTACAGTCCTTCACTTCCCAGCGACCAGCGGGACTCCTTCCTCGCATGACAACACAGCCACCACGGTAGCCTGAAAGCAGAAAACAACACTTTTTAGTATCAGATGACTAGAACATTCTGTGCCTGAAAGACGGCTCTTTACAGTGTTGAATAATTGACATCTTCTAATGAAGCACCCAGACAAGAACAATAAAGGCAAAAAAGGATGCTTTCTTGGCATGGTTATCTCATTTCTCTTCAACTTTGGAGAAAAGAATAGAAGATGGAAAAGTGAGAGAAGAGAGACTGTGGAGCCTGAAGTTTGGGCATTTTGAGCTCAGATAGCAAATGATGAGAAATGAGGAGCTATTCCAACTTGGGACCGAGATATCCCCCATATATCATCAAATGCCAACATCTCTCTACTTTGAATTATTGAACTTTTTAACTGTGCAGAGGAAAATTTAACTTACTATTAGTTGAGCACCTACCTTGTACACTGTGCTTTGAAATCTTACTGTGAAAAATTGGCACTGAAAAATGCACAGTGCTGATTCTCTGGGAAATAGATTCAATAGGAAACATACAGAAATGATGCAGTAAGGCAGGCTGCAAGGTACAGGACATAAAACCAAACTGTAAACCATGGGAGAGTGGAGAGAATGAGGTCTATTTCAACTGGGATGAAACTCTGGGGGCAGGAAGGGGGGCAGACATCACGGGAAAGGGAAAGACCAGCTAGCTATAGGTAGAACTCCATTTTATTCTTTTGTGTACATTTGAACATTTTGGAAAATGAAATATATTTTTCCATAGAAACAGTTTCTAAATTAAGATTCTCCTGTTTGTCATCAAATCTACATGACTCATAAGACAGCTAAAAATTACACTTTAAATTTCAGTGAATAGTAGAAAACAATCCCATTCCAAAAATAGAATGAAAGTTGAGTAAAAATGAACTTCTTTTTTCTTGAATAGAGTGATCATTCAATTAATTAAATCAATATTCAACAACAACAAGAAAATTTTGCATCTACATCTGCCAGGCTAGGCTGTATATTATTAGCTGCTAGAGATAGCAGGATGAAACAAGGCCAAAAAAAAAAAAACCCAAAAAAACCCCCAACTCTTAGTTTAGTGTGAGGTATAGATACATAAATACTTAATTGCCATAAATATAACGTGTGAAGTGCTATAGTAATGGTGTGTTCAAATTTCTGTGAGGAGATGTCAGAAGGGGTGATGGAGTCTGACTTAGGATGTCAGTAAAGGATTTACAGGAAGTGACATTTGAGCTGAGTTTTGAAGGATGAAAAGGAGAAAGGTGTTTTCAAAGGGAAGTGGGGAATTTAAAAAAACCAAGCAATTATAGATGAAGCATCTGAAGACTTGCAATGATTCTGGACCCAAAGGCACTTTTAAAAATGTAGTCACTTGGTACTACGTATTTGTCTTGCTTAATTTCCCTTCAGAAGTAATGGCTTCCGTTTTTGTAGATACGGGGTAACTGGCATTATCCTTATCAGCCATATTTTGGTTGTTTTATGCTGATAGAAAGACTAGGGAGATGAAAAATGAAGGTTGGAAGTGAGAAGGAAGAAGGCGGAAGATGTACAAAAAGCCTCTTATAAAGGAATGGAAAAGAGTTTGTGAAAGAGGAGAAAGAATAAGGATGCTAAAGAACGAGGATTTGTGTCTTCAGTAACCTGGGTGCACACCCTGTGTTAGGTACTGGGCATCACGGCCATCTGCAGTAAGTCACAATCTCATGTGTGTATGCACACTGATCATCAAGGAGACCGTCGAAGGTGTAAATGATCAGTCGTAAATAAGAAAACAAGACTGTATGACATATGGAAGAAACGGAAGTCAAGAGAGAGTTGATGCATACAATGCCATCAGTCAGCTCCATTGGCCAGAAGAGCTAATCAGTGGTCAAGATGAAGGGATGGGAGTGAGGCAGGGGACAGAGAGCAGGGCATGCCACTACCCCTACCATGGGTGGAACGTTCCAAGACTAGTGAATGTAATTTTGGAATGCAGCTCATAATCTAGCTGAGTCATGAACAATAGAGGAGATGCTGCCTGCTCTGTGCAATGAAATTCTAATGAAATTCAACTGTGGAAATCCATGTGGAAGCCCCAAACCTAATATGTATATTAATAGAGTTGTTCTAGTTGAAAGAGCAGGGACCAGATTCCTCCATCCTTCCTTCCCAGCAGTCTTTGACTTAGAGCCTGAAGTCTGGGGTTCTAGTCCCAGCACAAACATTTAGTAACTCGAAACTCAAACAGGTTAATTAACCACAAGAAACCTTGTCTAAAACCTGGGGGCAATCATTCTTTTTCTTCTTGTGGGTTTTCATGAAGATCGAATAAAGTAATGTATTAAAAAGCTTCCTGAAAGATACGAAGAGCTAAAACCATCTCTAAGATGTTGCTTCTATTCTTATTTTGACTGTTTTCACTACAAAAGCTGAAATTTTGTGGCATGAGTTCTGCCTGAATGTTCAAAGAATTTTTTAAAAGCTCAAATCAGCAAGTTTAAAGTGTAATACACTGTTTTTTGTTGGTCTTGCATTTTGTCTTACTTTCCCACATCAGACAATGATTAAATAGCTTTGGTTTTAGACACTATAGATATTCAACTCATCTTCATTAGCGGAGAAGGAGATGTTTGTGAACAGCTATGAAGATGAAAAGTGCTGCGGGAGTGTTATTGGTATTTTAAAGTGGTTAACTTAATGGAACATTTGACCTAAATTTTAGAGTCTCAGCCCCAAAGAAGCAGTAAAGTGGTATAATAAAGGGAGACTGGGCAAAGGGAGTTATAAACCAAATTTATAATCTTATGTTGTGGGGATGCTTGCAAAGCCAAGTAATAAGGGTAGGGTGTGGGAAGGAGCATCGGTGGTTTTTCTCCCAGAGAAAATTGTTCTCAAATTTGATAACTCATTTCCCATTGGGGAAGAAAAGCTATCATCCTATTCCTGAGTGGTGAATCTCACATTTGAACTGACTCTCCTTACCTATCTTTTCCTCCCTCTACCCCGCTTCACTCTCTCTGGCAAACATGAATGGGAACATTTTCAGTCAATTAAGAAATTTCAATTCACTATCCTAGTCTCTTCAATCTGGCAAAGCAATTTAGCCATATAGGAAATTGAACCGAGCTGGGAAAGCCTCCATCTTTCACTTCTTGGACCATATACCTAAAAACAAACAAAATCTACTTGTGGTCTCAGGGCAGGAGGGAACCATAACTGGGTCTTCTGATAAATATTTGACTCGAGCTCACTGTCCAGTGAGCAGGTGGAGACTACCTACTTAGTTTTCCATTCCCTGCAACAACCCTTTCACATCCTTAATCTCAAGCGCTGTGCCCTCCCGTCTCTCTCCTATCCTTCCACGGAGAAGAGTGAAGCTATTGAGGCAGGGAAGGTGAGCGTTCCCGGAGTTCTGCATATCTGCCCAATACTGTGTTAGGCATTTTATAGTTTTTTCCCTATTTAACTTCAAAAACTCTTTGAGGTGGATGTTCATATCTACAGTTTGCTAGTGGAAGAACCGAGGCACAGAAATGTAGGAACTTGCCTTGGGCTGCACAATGCTTGACGGTTTGACCTAGAATTTGAAGTCAGATTTAACTGAAGCTCCATGAGACAATGTCAAGACACAGAGGAGTCGGGCATTCAGCTGTTGAAGGGATGATTGAATCTTCCCTTTGTATCCTGCTCCTCCATTTCCGTGGCGCTCCCCCTCTTTCCCCGGGTAAGGCTTCTCTCCTTCATGTGACCATAGCATTTCCTTGAAGACTGACTGTCGCATTTTTTACCATGTATGATAGTTACTTATATAATTATAAAAGGACATAGAAATACCAAAAGGGTGCTCAGAAATGAGACCAAGCTTGTCCTCATTTATGTGTTGGTTCATTTCATAATCTGATGAGCCTTGAAATGGATAACTATCCATCTGCCTGCCCACTGGACAGGCTTCTTATTGCCACGTGCAGGGCACTTTCAAGAAAACAGATCTGACTTGCTCTACTGGGATCCCATTTTCCTTGTTACTGATGGAAGATTCCATTGATGTGGGACAGGTGGGTAAATGCTCTGGAGTTCTCCCATATGAGTGAAACATGCCCTTTCTGCAGTGATATCTAGATCTAGAAACACAAAACTTTTGTCACAGAGCCTGAGTTATGGATAGATGCAAAATTGTGGTCTCAGTTTCTTTTTCTCTATGAAACACCTGTGAAACTCTAATATGACCTGGAAAAGCTTTTTTTGAGTATCTTAAAGGATGGACTAACCTGATTTCCTTCACCATAGAGCAGCCTCCATTTGTGTTGAGTCTTTAAACTAAGTACAAAGTACATTTGAATTTCAAATGCATTATCTTCTCCGTAAATGAGAAAGGCCCTATTTATCATCGTTCCCTTTAATCGGTGGCACTAGTTTGTGTGGTTCAAAACTGTTTTTCCTGTTTTACCTGAATAGTTACTTCTCTTAAAATATCTAGTGCCATAATCTCTTTGTTATTGTTGTTTTCATAAGAATAGCAGGAAATTATCTCTTTATAGAAATATCCCAGCTATGAAGCTTTGAAAAATCCCTAATTAATTGATGGGTCTAGGTATTGATCATTAATAGCTGCTAACATTGCAAATAGTGAGAAAACTGGACACTGTGTGCCTCCAGATAGATCACACAACACCTATGAAATGGTCTTTCCAAAAAAGATAAATAGAAAGAAAGTCTGAATTGGATCAGGCCTCTGATTATAACTTTTAAAAAACAGAAATGTCAATTTTATGAAAAATAAAGAGATTAACACGTTTTAATGTGTTATGGGGATACAGTCAAAAAGCCCAGACTGCAGGAGACTCTACGGGACAAGCAACACATTTGCACCAATAAAATTAATTTTTTAAAAAATGTCAGGGGGCAAGGAAGAGGGAAATCTGGAGATGAAAGTACTTTAGGAGGTCTATCAACCCATGGCAATGGTAGAATCTTTTTTCAATCTTGATTCAAGCAACTGTAAAATACATTATATAATATTTATGAATCACTTAGAAATTTGAGC